ATATGAGAATAAAATATTTATTATTATAACTGACAGTTCTTCAAAAGCGACATCAGCACCATAACAGCAATTTCACTCAACCATCAAAATGTTGGGATCGGTAAAAAATCTCTGACACGTTAACATAGTTTTCTAAAGTAGGATGGCATACAACATGGCTAAATCAGCCTTCATATTAGCACTAGGACAAAAGCTTAGGGGACAACAAGAAAAAAATTACAAAGTTAACGCATAGTGCTTTGACAGATGACTTTTCACTGCTTATTGGCAACTACATATCGGAAAACCATTCTAACCTAAACCAAATACCTTTCTAATTTAACATAGCCAACATTTCCCGCTTCAATACATAACGATTACGCAAAATCTAAAATCACATTCCTTACGTCCGCATAACAAGCAGTTTATCCCACTTCCTTACCCCAGAAAAGCATATCTATCAAAGAAAACGGGTTATGCGTGAAGGAAAAATCGAAAACTATTCGTTTTTACTGATCTCCAGCCTATTTCTACTGTTCTGACATCAGATAATCGAAAAATCACCTGTGGCCTACGACGGTCTGCAGCCAGCCTTTATGCACAACTACTGCCGTTTGAACGACTAACCGTTTCAAGGTCTACATCCTTACAGCAAACCAGGCATTCCCAGTGATATTATTTCATATTGCCTCTAAATGTAACAGGGTGAACTGAAATGCACTGATGCACTGGTATATCTATGGATACTTTATTGATACTCCAGATCGTATACAAGGTGGACAAGATGTCCTGGAAGTCCACTTGGGACATTTAAACAAGTCCATTGCATCCGGATGCTGAAGTCGTAAAAATTAAGATGTTTGGCTCTCAGTCGTAATATTGAGCAAGAATATTAATCTTTGACATGAAATCGTAAGAGCATACATGAATTACACGTCCCTGGGGTCATCACTGAGGTTTAATAAATAAATACTTTGTATGCACATTCCTTCAAAAATGTTTCCTTATTATCTCAAACAAAAGGTACAAACTGTTACAATGGAAGTATTAGCTCCAAAATTTGTTTTACTCCGGGTAATACATGTTACGTCAAGATGCAAACCTGGATTTTTCGCTAGTGCAAAGACAATGCTCCCACTCATCCAACGCGTACGTTGTTGCATACTTATTCTGCTGGGATGCTCCATTATATAAACACGCAGCATTTATATCTTCTAGTGACAGAGTAGATGGGGATTGAGACTACCTGCCATGGGATGAATACAATTTATACGGCAACTCACCCATACCTGTAAAAATAGTGTGTGCCCGTATATTCAGGAATGCGTATCATTTCGATAACGCAGTTAGGGCACGGAGATTATCTGAGAAATGTGATGTACTTGAGCGATACATTTTGAAAAGTCAATCTATATATATAATGAAAAGAAAATTGAAGGCCTTGCGGGCTTCTTCTGAAAGCCTGTTCTAAATGTAAGAGGATTCAGTGAGGAAGAAATTACCTCGCAGGCTCGTCGTACAACTCCCAGTTTTAACTAATACTCATATTAATTATATTTGACCTTTCATTCAAATATACATAAACTGGCTTGACAGAAAAAGTGTGATCAGGCTGTTCGAAACGTACTGCGCAAATACACCGCGTTTTCTAGATAATCTGCGTCCTCTAATAGAGTCGCCGAAATAAATGTTGTTACTGTTATGGGTCCTTTGTCGTTAGCAAGGCTAAGATCTTATAATTGATAGACGGCTATATTACTGAATACAAACCATACAAGTGGACCGACGGTATCGGCTGGTTATCATGCAATCTTCCTATGTTTTTAATGGAGTTTAATGGCCTCCCTTGTATACCGTTCACGGCCGGTAGAATCTTGTGGATTTTTCAGCACATATCAACGTGTTGATGCCTGCAAACTGGCTTTTCTCATGCCAAATTCATAATGTAAAGATAAAAAATTTATTTATTTGTTTATAAAGTGTATCTGGCCTGTGAATCTCCAGTCAGTCAGATCACGCTTGGCCAGAGTAGCACATTATCAATGTCTACGCACGAGCAGTTTCTTCCTTTCTGTCGTCAAGCCCTGATGGACTAATGACATCAAGTGCTGCACCCATGTTATTCAATATTTAATTCCTGAATATAAAGAAATTTGTGTGAAAATTAACTCCTGACTTAAGGTAAATAATCTTAATAACGGGAACGTTCACACTCCATGCCAATAAGATGTAGGATGTCAACATCCCCCTGCTAGAGCCCTAGCTCACTCCATAGAAACCGTGATATGTTCATAAAATTAATCGCCTCACTTCAACCCTCACTGAAGTCTATGTGCTTGAAGTTGCAGTACCTACTTCTCTGTTTTGCATTACTTATCCCAGTCTGATAAAACTCATACCGTTCAGTGTGCTACCGACTTGGCGGTTTCTTTACTGGCCGCCTTTAACTTCTGCTGCTCTCAGATGAATGGTTTCCAGCTGAACTTTGACAGCAGTATTCCTTAAGTGAGACTAAGCTAAATCTTTCTGGATATGAGACAGCTAGTTTGAATCTCGGGTGCAAGCAGTTTCAATTCCACGACTCTTCCGGTGGTGATGATACGACTTCAAGTAGCAAGTTGGATGTTACATATTTCGGACTGTTTTCCCTCCTGTCTTCGTTGATCGCCTCACACCTTGATGACTGCAAAGAAAACATTTCGCTTAACACGATACGCAATGAAGCTGAGAATTGCTGATATAAGTCAGTCTCTGCCCACACAATTTAATAGTTCCTATATCTCGACTGTTCTTCCGGATTACTTCCCGTTAATCTTTTCCAGTCCGCCAGGACAGGACTATGTTATATTGCGTTAAGCTTTGATGGCTGCCAGTATGGGCAATGATGTCCGTTTAGCCCAGAAGTAACAGAAGTTAGAATACATGAGGGCAGCTAGCTATAGCCATTCCATTGGATACTGAGCATCCTGTTTATCCACGACCGTCTACTTCCATTTAATCAAGAAGAACAAGAAGCAATTAAAAAAGATTCTATGATCTCAGGTTCAAAGACAAATTTTCAGCTGCACCCTACCTACCAGTCACTTTACCTGCACAAAAAAGTTTTAGATAATAACTTGTTTGTAGGTTCTGTAATAATAATAGTAATAATAATATATTTCATACAACATGGGTTACACGAATACAAACCAGTTTACAGGTTTGATCACTTTGGTAATGGGAAATGATCATTATGTACAGTGTTTGGCTATACATTTGATACTGCTATTCATGGCATATGAGAGGTGTGTTGAAGCAGGCCTGGATCGAAATTAGGAATTGTTCAGTTATTGTTTGAATCTTCCAAAATTCTTGAGGGTTGGTTTCTTTAACACTTCAAATATTCATTTACAACTGTCTTTGTTGCTAGTGCCATTTACATAATCTAGTCAGTACCGCAGTAAGTATCGCAATGAAATTAATTTGTGTTGCAAACTTGCATTCTAAAATGTGTCGAAAAGCTGTTTTTGTTATTTTAGCATCACCTGTCTTGTTCAGTCTGCTTTCCATAGACTCCGGTCCAGTGACCTCCCAGCCTAACACTACATTGTCATCAAGCCCCATCAGTCTTTCACACTCCCACAAAGTGAAGATTGCGCAAATCAACTCACACAAGGCGTAATACACAAGATGAACAGATATGTAGTTAATAACGTGAGCGCCACAACTACAAAGCGCTCCCAACATATACGCGCATTTAGTTCAGGTTATCACAGGTAAGTTAGTTGATTGTCCACAGATTTGAGTAGTGACGAAAGTTCTTCTGACCACTTTTCGTTGCCTTACCTTCACCATAGTGAGTCTACCGGCTTTTAACGTGCACAGCTATCGAATGGTCTATCCAGGCTATTTTTCATACCTGTCCCACCTCTGCCTGTGAAAACAAGCAGTAAAGGCCTTGAGATCGCCGGCTAGTGGCAAACATACCGATCTGAGCATTTTAGGCGGTTCAGAGATGACACACGGTGCTGCATCGGGAACCCAATGAGTGGCTGAACTTTACTATATGGCTTGCCAGGCGTCGCACCTACCTGCATGCCAGCGTGCAGGTCTTTCCTACCCTCAGTATCTCTTTGTCCCTAATTTAAAACCTCTGTATTCTTTTTATAGCAATACCCACTTCTTAAGAGTGTTCAGCCCAGAAACTGAGCTGCTCGTTTGCCAATAGGCTATTTAGCTACGCGCTGCACAGTAGCCTATGTCTGACTATTCCTTCTGATGCTTAGGGGACGGTACAATAAAGCTAATGAGGTAATATTTGGCTTAAAGTTGACGAATAAGGTCACCAAAGGTCTCACAGAAGATTTCCTGTCATGTACCTGTCGCATGGCTAGCTTTAAACGAAGAAGTTATTTCAGCAGATCTTTGATGTCAATCAGTTAGACTGTAGGCTCATTTTTCAAGACGTTTACCACTGAAGGGATATGAACTATGTTGGTATTCAGCACCTTTGTTTCCCTAAGTTTATATAGGCTTGTCAAAGTGGTTTGCTACACTTTCAGACCAACCTAAGTCTCTTTTTTCTTCGTACTTCCTCTCTTTTGGTCGTGCCAGACATCTTTCCTCACTTCTTTTTACAGCCAGTCTGTAGTAAGACACTTATGGAACCTATCTGCACCATAGTCCTTGGAAAAATAACACAGTCCCTTAAATTTGGTCAATACCCAACCACTCTCCTGGCTGACAAGAGTTACAACATGCAAAGGGGTGGGTCTGCTACTTCTCAACTCACTAAAGACTTGTAACCTTTTCGGAAAACCTAGAAGCCAGCGCAAATAAATCAATTAGTTCAAACTAGCTATTAAAGAGATAGTGGATAACGGATTCAGATAATATCCACCAGATTTGCTTAAAAATTAGCGATTTGTTCCATTTTTAGTGGAAAGAGGATATTCTTAAACCTTGGTCCTAGACGCTCAATGGACGTGTTGTACATTGAGATGACGTTGTTTAAACAGGTGCTGTTTATTTCCCAGAGCGCGATGTCCAGTCCTGAGAGTGTAGTGTTACCAGACGGGCGACGAATTGGCGACCTTAAAGTGGCTGATCTTCGAACTCAGCTGGAATTAAGAGGACTTAGCCGCTCTGGAGTCAAAAAGGACTTATGTGCACGTCTTTCGGATGCTGTGGGAGGGGAACTGGTGCTGGAAGAAAAGGTAAGCATATTTTGTGTACCGATCAGTACATTCAAACATACCTCTCATTGGTTGCATTACTTCGGTAGCATTTGTCACATTTTAAGACCATCATCTGTTTCCAGTAAACTAGCCAAGTACACATTGAATGAGTAATCTGTCCAAACTAATGCAGTTTCACTGCAAATCGTTTCCAGCGAATTAAAACACGAAGTCCTGACATTCTCGGGTTTCACTGACCAAAAATAGGTTGTGTTTTGTACTACCCAATCAGGTTGTCAACTGTGAAATCGTGGTAAAGTTATGGTGTTGCAGTAAAAAATCAGACCATAACAGTTGGATAGCTAATAAACGAAGGTTGAGAGCAAAGCATTTATATTTGTATATTGATCTTATGCTTCCATGCGAAATCTAGCAAGGCTCATTTGGTAAAATGTTTCGCTAACCGGGCTTAGATTCTACTCAGTAAGTCTAGATACGTCAGGGACCCTAAATATTAGAGATTCCCTGCTTAGTACTTACCTGCGAGTTTGTGAAGCGAAAATCCTAACGATAATTGAAATGTCCCAGTGAACCTACTTTAGTCTTGTTGAGGTAGGAACATCGAAAAATCGACGTAGTATTCCTACAATACTGCTAGTAGCTTGTCATTTAAACCCCAAAACAGGTGAATTTTGTTGCCTTGAGGATTCGTTAGACCTAAATCATTTTTTCTATGATAGCATGACACTGCACGGCCCAACGAAAAGGTCAGTTTAACTTGAGTCTCAAATGTGCATCAAAAAGTTTGGATAACCGTTTAAAGTACTGAGAAGGGTGACACAAGTGGACTGACAAAACCCTATCCACGTGCTGCTTTAGAAACATGCTGGGTTGTTGAGAAAACGATGACTGCTGCCCCAGATCAAAACTCAGATACTTTCACCGAAACAATTATTTTTCATCTATCATGTCAAAAAGGTCTGCCGGGTAAAACAAATAGCAGTCAACTTCATAGTGTAGAAAACTAACACAGTGATGATCCCAGGATGAAGTCATACTGCTGTTTGGACTGCGGTGACTTCACCAAGATGTTTCACGAACAGTAACCAGCAGTAGAGTTTAGGACAGGTTGGCTCTAGAACTGGTATACTCCCTGCCCTGTGGTATCCCAGTGCCGGTAGTATAAGCTTCTATTGTCCGGTGTTAGCAAAATCAAATCTAAACCCACCAGTCAAAAAAAAACTGCTACGTCATAGGCAGATGTTCTCTGGGTTCTGCGGTTACGCGAAAGTTGATCCCATTTCTCTTCTAGGAACCCGCAAAGGCGTTTTCCACGGTGGTCGAAAAGTACCGAACACCTCCATACCTCTAAATATGTAAAACCTAGATAACAACAACCTACCTACCTTAACCGTGTCTAACGTCTTCCCTTCACTCACTGATACTATTACCTGACATACTAAGACTTCATCAACCTCATCGTGCGAAAATCGATAACTACCTGGGACAATAAAATATTCCTACTGTCTTAGATACCATATTACCAATTTCACATAGGAGCTCCCGACGTCCGAGCCATATGCCAAATCAGGCAACAGGTATCTATTGTCGAAACTCTGGGATCTCAAGTCATCGATGTATGCTGTGTTCCCAAAACACACAGCGCAGCTATTCGCCGGACCAGTCTGGTTCATCTGTAAAATTCACTTTATGGGTGTTCAGGGATTCAACGACCAGTTCTGGTGAACTCGCTGTTGTAGGTATTGTTGTGGAGTGAAAATTGCACTTTTCGACTAGGTACCAGTTAAAGACTGTCCGACCAAATGGATCTGTAATACGTGGAAAAGAACGTGAAACTTGCTGATGCTCATTCATAATCTCCACCTACGAGCCCACCAACTGCAGTTTGAATGGATTCCATCAAAAGCTGTCACCTGCTTAAATCCAGGTCACGCGTTAGTATGAGCACCTGTACGTTATCGTATTACTGATCACGGGAAACGCAGCAGCGAGACTTCAATGCGCTCGACTGGAAGATGAGAACGCCAAATGTGCATTTAGAGAGGAGATAGTAAGGCTGCAGCAATTCCCTTCATGATGAAGCCTGGCGTAACAGCCTGCTGTAGAAACAGGTAATTATAGTTGGTAAACTACATCCGAAAGTCAGCAAAACCCAGGGGATTTCTTCAACTCCATCCTAACTGACTAATGTGAGAAGACTCATTCTAGGTGGTTCAGCACAAGGAAAAGCGAAAACAAACATAAATTGACCAAGTCTTCTCAACGATCGTGAGCAGTGATGAGTGGCAAAACTGAGAAGGAGAAGGCATCAGCGTTAAGCAACACCCGACAACTATTTAGCATTACTGAGAATATCGGTGGGAAGAAAACAATAGTGAGTGAAACCAGCACCAGAAAGGATGAACCCATAGTAACCTCTCAGGACAGGCGGCTGGAACGTTGAGTGAAACATTTTGAAGCAAAGTTCAACTGACACATAGCAAAGCTTCAGTTACCCGTGATTCAATCCGAACCTAAACGGAACGTGGATGTCGGTCCTTCAACTCCCGCCAAAGTTGAGAAGGCTGTTTCGAACCCGAAATGATGCAAAGCAGCTGAACCTGACAGTTTGCCACCCGGGGTTTTCAAAAAAGGAATGTGGAAAAATGCTAATTAGGTTGGTGAATACACTAGGTAGTGTATAGGAACCACAAGTAGTCCCATCAAACTGACCTACATCACACCACTCAAGTTTCCTTTGACAACTGTAGAGGGTTAGTTTGACTATCTCAGGTCCTAAGGTCCATAGTCAACCAAAGCCCATTTGGAACTCGATAACAACAAACTCCAGTGAACCAGGTAGATTTCAAACTTAGACGAGGGTGCATCAATCAAATCATCACACTCCGACAGATTTGAAACAAAGGTACGCTTGCCGTCGCCCAACCCCCGCCATATTTCTTGAATTAAAGGTGACATTCGACGCTGTCGACCGGGAGGTGTTGTGGTAATGTCTGACAGTGAACTGAGTACCAAGCAAGTATTTACTGTCAATCAAAGCTCTCTACTCGAACTCATGCAGTTGCGTAAGAGCTTGTGGGAAGTTGTCTTCTGAAGTGACGACAACCAGTGGTGTCAGACGCGGAAACCCACTGTAACCGTTCCTCCTTAACTTCATTACAGATGTGCTTAGAGAGGACGTTCGACTGACCCATAATATTGAGACGACATTATCCTGATGCTGACAAAATGCAGAGTCTACTGAAAACCTTTAGCGAAAATCTGGGTATGTTTAACATGCGTTTTGCACCTGTGAAGTGTAATATAATGCTCCAGGACTGGTCCGCTGCAAGCATTCCCAGTTTAAGGACAGGGGAGTAAAGCGGTTAAATGCGTCCACTATTCCATCTGCTTGAGAGTTGCTACAAACTAGATGAGTTGGTTGCAAGTATTTTCACATTACTGCTCACAATATAGTTAATCGCCGTGTGAGCAGTGTTGAGGTTATGCAAAGGGTACTAGGCAAGTCGACCGATGAGGTTGTGAATCTTTATTGGCTGAGGTGACTTGGATATGTGTTGCGCACGCAGAGGAATCGTTTATCTCGAAGTGCGATTTTATTCGCAGTAGGATTGAGTCCGAGGAAGGTTCAGAGTGGGTGAACCAAGACGTGACAACGGTCGACGAAGTCCTTGACCATTGGTCTCAGCCGTTGGGGAAGTGCAGACTACTTCGCTAAAGACCTTTGGTGACACTGGTGAAAATCAGTCAAAATGACACACTTCGGGGTCTTTTAAAGTTTAGACATTCTCATCAACCATTTTTGAATTATTTCTTTTCTCACACTTGCTTGCTTTGATATCACTCTTCTACCAACTTGTCTACATGCTGATGTGACGCGTGTAACTTGAACCGATGCACGTCCTTGCCAGCCAGATTCGACGTTTATTGCTTCTGTTTAACCCCTACACGGTTCAGATCAACAGTCAACTACCGAATGAAGTACTGCCTTGTCTTGATTTGATCACGTTGAGCCTACCAACAGAATCTTATTTCGACTAACATCGCACATTGAATCAAGCAGTAACCTGACGTACGCTATGTGTATTCAATCTATACTCAGTCAGGGAAGCTCACAAAGTCTCAGAACAACAATCAGAGGTTTCAGTGACGGTTGCCATGTTTTAGTCTGGCCTTCTTTACAGCTTTTTCAGTTGTCCCACTTCAGCTAATAATGCACCAATGACTAAACCATGACTAGACATGTATAACATATGCCAATCATCGGAGTCGAAGGTTTATAAAACCTCTGCGCTCAACCACTTCACTCCTTATTGTTGACAAGGCGCCAACTAAAGAGTCCTGAGACAATTTGCATTTTAATAGCGAGAAAGGCACTCAAAAATTCTCAAATTGCCACTAAAAACTCTGCATCTTGTCAGCGTCTTTACTTAGCACGACTGTCACCTCCGTACTCTGGGCTAAATAAGGGGTCTTCTGTGACAAGGTCCATCCTTATAAAGTCAAACAAGGAGGAAGATCTTCATAAGCATGTTGTTACGGTTGCCTACGCCCCAAGAAAGTAATGTGTTTGTGCTGTTGTTTAACATGATCGTTTCTCGCACCTATGGTTTTATCTTCAATTGATGTTACACACTCACCTAAACCTGTAATGGAATCATTTTTTTTCGTTATGAGCTGGTGTGTGATTAACTAGAACTTCCTAATACTTCTGAGATGGCTAACCTGGTTTTTCTAAGATTATTAGCAATGTTTTTCTGGGATCAGAATTTTGTGTCGATGCAAGCTTTTCAAGACGTGTGATTAATTTTAACATTCGTCTTATTCGCGTACTAGCCTCCTTTCGGAAAATATGTATGTCTAATGATTCCCTCTGCTGGTGATGTATTTGAAATAGGTTGAATTTTGCATAGCAATTCATTCGCTTCAGTTACGTGCAAAACGTAGCTACATTCACTTGTTTGATGCTCTGATATGGTCGCTAAATATTGGGATGGCATAGTTGATAGTTGAATTCGTTAAAGATTCATAATTAGGTATTCAGGTCATTTTGTTCACTGATTTCAGAAATCAGGAAGTACCGTCGAACCTATGGGATCAAACAGCTCTCTAGATGATAACAGTACACAAAATGAAGATACTTTAGAAATCAACGCTGTTGCTTCGGATGAAGAAATTTTTGAAGTGTCTGCGCCCGGTGACACTGGAAATGCTGAGTAAGATTCAAAAATTTTTTTGTTTATACATGCGTATCCATTTGTGAAGGTATATATCGTCATATAATTTAAAAATTGTTGTTTGAACATCCAATAATGACTTAATTAGAGAAACATAATTGAGCTCTTTAATGTTTACTGGATTCTGTTAGAGCATCGTACATTTGAGCACTAACTATAGAGGTTAGTATAAAACACTGACACTAGTCAAGAACTGCAAATAGAATTGGAAGGTTCATACTTACGTCAAGTTTAACTGTTCCTATCATTTACACTAAGTGTATTTATCACCATGTTCTTAGCACGGTTCACGACCTATGGATGAAACGTGCGTATAGTTACTTCTTTTATAGTTTTCGAGCTTATGGAGAATTGTCGTCTGAAATAACACCCAGTAGTGCCCACTAAGGATGCTGACTGTCACCTTCAACTTTGTTGTAGATTTGCTTTTCAACTTAACACTAAGTGGTTCCTACACTACATAAATTTATTCACCCTCAGGAAGGAACCTAATTGGTTTGGAATAAAAAAGCAACGAGATGACTCTGACCGCAGATCAATAATGAGAATACGAAAATGTTTTAAACGAAAAACCGAGTTAAGAATTATCTGAGCAAGAAAGTTGCTCAGCTGAAAATGCTATAGGTCATCTACTGTCCGCCATCAAAAAGCCTTCTATAATCGACCCTCATGGAAAGGCTAGGAAAGATCGGTGGATTTTGGTGGCTTATTGTGAATCAGTGGATGTACGTAAACGCATTCCTGTAGTCTATGAGCTTGTCGAAGGGTGGAAACAACTCAAATATGGACTTAAAGAGTCTGGACAATGGACTTAAACAGTGGTAGGCAGCATAGGCTAGAGAAGGAAAAGGTAAAGATGATAGTTAGTGGCAAAGTCATCCCAACTGGAGCAAAAAAGTTGACAGTTAGACTATGGTGGAGAAGTATGGGAAACGACTGGAACGATAAGCGGAGCGGCTTGAGAAACAGTTCAGCTGGCATCCAGCTAGGATTCCGTTGCTGGCTATCCAGTCGGATCCTGAATGGAACATTCAGGCAGGACTTCCAACTCTTACATAAGTTAAGAAGGCTGTGAGTAACTGGAAACGAGAAAGAACACCTAGGTCAAATAGAATAATAGTACCAGAGGCATTAAAGGACGCTGGTTGTGGATTATTGGTCGGGTTAACTGAGGTGTTAGATAGCATATGGAAATTAGATATGATCCGCCCAGACAGGCCTCAATTACTGGTTGCTCGAGTCTTCAAGAAAAGAGAGAAAGCCTACTGTAATAACCACGGGAATCACTGACGAATAGTGTTTAGGATTCTACGTCCTATAAGACTTCTGGGTGGAGAAGCTTCCAAACCTAGTTATGGGTACATCGACCAGATATTACCTCTTTCCCAGCCATTGGAATAACACCGGCACCCGACATTAGATTTTATTTCTTGACCTGAAGGAGGCAACCGACTCTTCCGATTGAGAGGTCCTAAGCCATTGCCTCATTGAAAGGGGTCCCGGGTAAGTAATATCTCTGTTGAAGCCGCTGTAATCGAATACCTTAGGGTGTATTAGAACTTATGGTGATGCGGCGCGTGAGTTATATAAGTCGCCGGGTGTCCATCAGGGATGGAGTTGACTCGGTCTAGGCAGTCACTGGTCGGGACCCAGCTTCATCTCGAGGTTTGGGCAGCCAAAAAATACCGTTATCGCACACAATAAGTGTGACTCGCTGCTTACTGCACAAGGTTGTCGAGTGGATTGCAGTTTGCGTCAAAGACGTTCACTCTCTTCATTCTTGTTTGATTTTGTTATATATATATATATATATATATATATATATATATATATATATATATATATATATATATATATATATATATATATATATATATATATATATATATATATATATATATATATTCGACGTGATATGATTAACGATAGAAGAATAACTTCTCAACACGATATTCAGCTGACACCAGAAGTTGAAGACAAAGGAACTGAAATTATATTTACTTCAACCAAACAATCTTATAGCCAAAAAATTCAGGGGTTTAAATGGCCTCAGATGGTCTTGGTCTGGGTGAACAAAATTGCATTTTAAAAGTGTTAAATGAACCACTTAGCTTTCAGTACCCCCAAATTGTGGTAGAAATAAGTAGCACTGCATGGACCTAAAATGACACGGAGGTAAGGTTTAAATTTTATAATGATTGTATGGACGTATGTTATTTTCTTGGGGATTAGACATCCGTAACAACATGCTTATGAAGATCTTCCTCCTTGTTTGACTTTATAAGGATGGACCTTGTCACAGAAGACCCCTTATTTAGCCCAGAGTACGGAGGTGACAGTCGTGCTAAGTAAAGACGCTGACAAGATGCAGAGTTTTTAGTGGCAATTTGAGAATTTTTGAGTGCCTTTCTCGCTATTAAAATGCAAATTGTCTCAGGACTCTTTAGTTGGCGCCTTGTCAACAATAAGGAGTGAAGTGGTTGAGCGCAGAGGTTTTATAAACCTTCGACTCCGATGATTGGCATATGTTATACATGTCTAGTCATGGTTTAGTCATTGGTGCATTATTAGCTGAAGTGGGACAACTGAAAAAGCTGTAAAGAAGGCCAGACTAAAACATGGCAACCGTCACTGAAACCTCTGATTGTTGTTCTGAGACTTTGTGAGCTTCCCTGACTGAGTATAGATTGAATACACATAGCGTACGTCAGGTTACTGCTTGATTCAATGTGCGATGTTAGTCGAAATAAGATTCTGTTGGTAGGCTCAACGTGATCAAATCAAGACAAGGCAGTACTTCATTCGGTAGTTGACTGTTGATCTGAACCGTGTAGGGGTTAAACAGAAGCAATAAACGTCGAATCTGGCTGGCAAGGACGTGCATCGGTTCAAGTTACACGCGTCACATCAGCATGTAGACAAGTTGGTAGAAGAGTGATATCAAAGCAAGCAAGTGTGAGAAAAGAAATAATTCAAAAATGGTTGATGAGAATGTCTAAACTTTAAAAGACCCCGAAGTGTGTCATTTTGACTGATTTTCACCAGTGTCACCAAAGGTCTTTAGCGAAGTAGTCTGCACTTCCCCAACGGCTGAGACCAATGGTCAAGGACTTCGTCGACCGTTGTCACGTCTTGGTTCACCCACTCTGAACCTTCCTCGGACTCAATCCTACTGCGAATAAAATCGCACTTCGAGATAAACGATTCCTCTGCGTGCGCAACACATATCCAAGTCACCTCAGCCAATAAAGATTCACAACCTCATCGGTCGACTTGCCTAGTACCCTTTGCATAACCTCAACACTGCTCACACGGCGATTAACTATATTGTGAGCAGTAATGTGAAAATACTTGCAACCAACTCATCTAGTTTGTAGCAACTCTCAAGCAGATGGAATAGTGGACGCATTTAACCGCTTTACTCCCCTGTCCTTAAACTGGGAATGCTTGCAGCGGACCAGTCCTGGAGCATTATATTACACTTCACAGGTGCAAAACGCATGTTAAACATACCCAGATTTTCGCTAAAGGTTTTCAGTAGACTCTGCATTTTGTCAGCATCAGGATAATGTCGTCTCAATATTATGGGTCAGTCGAACGTCCTCTCTAAGCACATCTGTAATGAAGTTAAGGAGGAACGGTTACAGTGGGTTTCCGCGTCTGACACCACTGGTTGTCGTCACTTCAGAAGACAACTTCCCACAAGCTCTTACGCAACTGCATGAGTTCGAGTAGAGAGCTTTGATTGACAGTAAATACTTGCTTGGTACTCAGTTCACTGTCAGACATTACCACAACACCTCCCGGTCGACAGCGTCGAATGTCACCTTTAATTCAAGAAATATGGCGGGGGTTGGGCGACGGCAAGCGTACCTTTGTTTCAAAATCTGTCGGAGTGTGATGATTTGATTGATGCACCCTCGTCTAAGTTTGAAATCTACCTGGTTCACTGGAGTTTGTTGTTATCGAGTTCCAAATGGGCTTTGGTTGACTATGGACCTTAGGACCTGAGATAGTCAAACTAACCCTCTACAGTTGTCAAAGGAAACTTGAGTGGTGTGATGTAGGTCAGTTTGATGGGACTACTTGTGGTTCCTATACACTACCTAGTGTATTCACCAACCTAATTAGCATTTTTCCACATTCCTTTTTTGAAAACCCCGGGTGGCAAACTGTCAGGTTCAGCTGCTTTGCATCATTTCGGGTTCGAAACAGCCTTCTCAACTTTGGCGGGAGTTGAAGGACCGACATCCACGTTCCGTTTAGGTTCGGATTGAATCACGGGTAACTGAAGCTTTGCTATGTGTCAGTTGAACTTTGCTTCAAAATGTTTCACTCAACGTTCCAGCCGCCTGTCCTGAGAGGTTACTATGGGTTCATCCTTTCTGGTGCTGGTTTCACTCACTATTGTTTTCTTCCCACCGATATTCTCAGTAATGCTAAATAGTTGTCGGGTGTTGCTTAACGCTGATGCCTTCTCCTTCTCAGTTTTGCCACTCATCACTGCTCACGATCGTTGAGAAGACTCTTGGTCAATTTATGTTTGTTTTCGCTTTTCCTTGTGCTGAACCACCTAGAATGAGTCTTCTCACATTAGTCAGTTAGGATGGAGTTGAAGAAATCCCCTGGGTTTTGCTGACTTTCGGATGTAGTTTACCAACTATAATTACCTGTTTCTACAGCAGGCTGTTACGCCAGGCTTCATCATGAAGGGAATTGCTGCAGCCTTACTATCTCCTCTCTAAATGCACATTTGGCGTTCTCATCTTCCAGTCGAGCGCATTGAAGTCTCGCTGCTGCGTTTCCCGTGATCAGTAATACGATAACGTACAGGTGCTCATACTAACGCGTGACCTGGATTTAAGCAGGTGACAGCTTTTGATGGAATCCATTCAAACTGCAGTTGGTGGGCTCGTAGGTGGAGATTATGAATGAGCATCAGCAAGTTTCACGTTCTTTTCCACGTATTACAGATCCATTTGGTCGGACAGTCTTTAACTGGTACCTAGTCGAAAAGTGCAATTTTCACTCCACAACAATACCTACAACAGCGAGTTCACCAGAACTGGTCGTTGAATCCCTGAACACCCATAAAGTGAATTTTACAGATGAACCAGACTGGTCCGGCGAATAGCTGCGCTGTGTGTTTTGGGAACACAGCATACATCGATGACTTGAGATCCCAGAGTTTCGACAATAGATACCTGTTGCCTGATTTGGCATATGGCTCGGACGTCGGGAGCTCCTATGTGAAATTGTTGGTATGATATATAAGATGCTGGGAATGGTGTTTGGTTGTGAAAGCAGGTCTTGGGGCTGTTTCTGGATCGTGTGTGATGTTGTCGTGATCATGAGATAAGTTTCTATACTCGGATGTTGGCATACTGCTAGGTTCTGAGATTTTTATTTATTAATATTTGTCTGATCTGAATTTCGCAAATGACAAGTGATTGGGGTGCTTAATTGCTGAACTCGCATTGCGATAACTTCCATTTTGCTGAAGGTATTTACTGATATTTCCAGTCATGAGTTTATTCACTTCCGTATTGAGTTGACACTCATCTCTGTGTATTCGACAAGCAAATCGGCTATGGAATAGGTCTACTGTATTAAAAAGTCTTTTACCCATGTTGATACATTGTTTCTTGGTCTTCAGATTCATTTTCCAGCTGCCTTTCAGGCATTAGTGACCTTCTAGTATCATTTCTTTGTGTCATCTTGTTGCATCATCGCTTGAAGGGGGGGGGGATGGAGGTGTATGAAGCATCTTAACTTAGACTTTCTGAGTAGTCAAGTCCTGTTTTTTTAGAAACTATCATAGGGCTTCACAGTAAGTGGCTCATCTCATATAGGCCAGTACGTATTTGAATTGTATGACATTGAATTTCTGCTTGGCCATGTTAACTCAAGCGAGTGTTAGTTTCGTAGTGTTGACACCAAACTGATTAGCTGTGCAGACAGTCTTCATTTTCAGTTATTTCTTACAGTTTAATTTGTTCTGTAGCTGTTCATTTTGTTATTATTAATATTCAACTATTTCTGTCATTTTCAGAAAAGAAATCCCCGTAAGTTAGAGCTCATTGATTGATACCTCGTGTATTTCTGTATTGACTTAATTATCTTTGTTAGGAAATATTAGTTAAGTTATATAGTGTAATATATGAATAAGGATATTTGTGCATCCGTCATTCATAATGTATTAGTTTAAGGGTCAGTGCATATATCTAGTTAAGCTTTTTTCTCTAGTTTTTTTCTTTTCAATATGCTCGTATGTTGTGTTACCTAGACCTTTCCTTCTTTGTCCTTCGTCACCGGTGTTTGTTTTACCTTTTTTGTACTTGCTTAAATGTACTCCTTGTTCCTGTTTATACTCGCTAGTCTATACGTGTTGGTCGCACTCCACTTCTACGCGTTGTTTAACCGTACGCTTACTGATGTCCCTCGTCTTCTCATCATACAACTGGGGCAATTAAAATTCAGTTAAATATGGCTTCTGACAATTGTCAAACTTCAAGTACTGTGCTTCTTATCGTGTTGGTCGTAATCCTTTGTGTGCTCGCACATTGACTGGAAAAGTTACTAAATGAAAAATGTATCCGCTATTAATAAAATATTTGTTGATGACTGTTGATCTTATAAGGAAAGACATTTGAATATATTTCCACTTCACTGACCTGTTAACTCACTTTCCCTTTTTCGTTATTGTCCCACAGAACATATGTTACCTATTTCTTTGAATTATGATTTTCGACCGCTTACAAACCAGCATTTATCTTATCTTACTCCCTTCTTGTTGTCAGTTTCCTTTCAGTTTTTGTCCAATGAGTGGATCACTTGGTCGAATAGCTGTTTGTATTTTTTTCGTCTGTAGTAATATGCTTTTCGTTTTGCCTACTTTTCACCTCAAGCTGTAATTAACATTCTTCTCAGCCAGTCAACGGTTTTCACATGACTTACTTTGATAAAGAATTACCCATGATTGTACATATTTCCCTTTTGGTACTTCAATGTAGTATACCATTTAGCTAACTGTAATCCACATATACCACAGTTCCCATTTTTCTGTCAAAGCTTATCAGCGTGGAAAACAAAGTACTGTGTGATGACTTTCTTTTACGAAGGCTGTTCCACTATTGCTTTTTCATTCTGTTGTTCACTTGCTTTTTGTTCTCGACTTTTATTCTGTTAAAACTCTTTCCTAAAAGTACCCTGTCTTTACCGTACCACTTTGATGGAAAATGTTTTATCTTGAAGACATGATTCATTCCTGTTTATTTCAAATTGTTGCGGTTGTTTACCGGAGATTTTCGTATCAGAATAATGCAGCATACGAAACTGCTTCTTGTCTATGTTCTGGTTCGATGGTAATAATGAATATGTATGGGAAGAAAGCATGAGGTGATGAACTCCACGTGCTCTTGGATATCTCATAAAAGCGAGAAACTTCAGGTTAATTTTTTTTGCATTGCGTATTTGAATTTTTTTTGAAGCATTAACGTATTTGCACTATATGTATATGTAAGTTCCTTGTGTTGTGTTTGCAGTATGCGCTTTGTTGACCATTGTTTTGTGAATCGAATATTGTTCGGCGTGGCAACTATGTTTGTAGTTTGTCTGAAAGTGTATGATGTTACTCACAATTTATTCCACGTTTTCGTGGATTGGGATATGCGTATATCAGTAAAAGTAAAACGTATATTAGTGAGAAGTTATCTTCGTAGAGCTATACCGAATTTTCTCAGCTTTTTTATGAATTTAAGTCGGAACAGGTGATGTGATGATAATGGTGATAGTTGTTGCTTGGTTTGTATCTGGGGCGGGGGAGGAGAAGGTATTGTTTGTCAACTATTTTTCATATTTTATTTTGGTGAAGAGAAGTACGACAGTTTATTTCAGTCAGGCTATTTATTGCATTTTGAACTACTTTATTTCAGAGAAGTGAAGAAAGTATTTGTAAGTCTCCATCTGCATCTTCTGAGTGTACTATGGGTAAGCATAAATCCTTCTTTTGTGTTAAACGTAAATTTGAAAGTTATATGCTTGATAATTAAATCTCACCGTCAGTGTTTTTTAACATCTTTACAACCATACGACTGTTGATCTTCATATCCATTCTTTGAAGATATATTTTCGACTATCAACTGTCTGACTTTTCCTAGTTTGATATTCCTTGGAATTTTACTCTATTGACACATTCACGGTTTAAAAAAGTAAACCCTTCATGTTTGACAGATGTTATTGTGTTTTGAATTATTTTCATATCTTTCAGATTCAGCCGCTTCAGTATACAATATATTACTCACCATATACTGCTTACAAATATATGTCTCAATTCTTCTATTTGTCATATCTCCAAATCTAGTCTTTCCATACACCCTTTCCATGCTGTTAATAATCCAAGATGTCTTTTTTTGAAATTGTAAAGTATCCCTCATTGACAAATCAATATAGAACCTGACACAGAAGTTCTTCACTCCAGGTTGCCTTACTTCACAGCAGCATGCAAAGAAGTAGATATGAAGAGTATTATAAGTGTAGATCAGTGTGTGTAAGAGGAGACAACAAGTTGTTCAAAAATAAAAAGTGAATGCATCTCCATCACTATAAACAGTTTTGAGTCTCATTGTCAAGAATTGCAAACTCTAGGTTCTTATTCTCTCCAGGATCATATCAGCAACTTACAACTCCCTGCACTCAGATCAATGGTTAAAGACTTCATGAAGTTATGCTAAATCCTGGTCTGACAACTTTAAGTCTTCGTACTACCCAATCCTTACTTCCATTAACATCGCACGTTAAGGCAGGCAGCGGCATGGCATGCATAACACGTGTTCATGCCATCTGTCGATGAAAGTTCACAACTTCATTGACTGACCTGCTTTGGTTGCCTAGTATCCTAGACCCAACCTCTACATTTATGACAGATTCCACTACGCCTAAGCAAGACTGTGAAAATACCTGTGGACAAAACCGATAACCATTTCGTTCATTGAATGTTCAACTAGTGTCTGAGTAGTCATATACTCAATATCCTTAAAAATGTGTCCGGTGGAAACTTCTCTCGTGACGCCTGTGAATCTGCTATCATTCATCTTGAGCATCGACCTAACCACCTATTACCCGTCAAGAATTTTCAGTGATAAAAGTTATGAAAGATGTTTGTATAGTTATTTCCAGTTAAATATCATAGCACATATCAAGTGCACACATATACAACAAGTTGTTCAAAAATAAAAAGTGAATGCATCTCCATCACTATAAACAGTTTTGAGTCTCATTGTCAAGAATTGCAAACTCTAGGTTCTTATTCTCTCCAGGATCATATCAAGCAACTTACAACTCCCTGCACTCAGATCAATGGTTAAAGACTTCATGAAGTTATGCTAAATCCTGGTCTGACAACTTTAAGTCTTCGTACTACCCAATCCTTACTTCCATTAACATCGCACGTTAAGGCAGGCAGCGGCATGGCATGCATAACACGTGTTCATGCCATCTGTCGATGAAAGTTCACAACTTCATTGACTGACCTGCTTTGGTTGCCTAGTATCCTAGACCCAACCTCTACATTTATGACAGATTCCACTACGCCTAAGCAAGACTGTGAAAATACCTGTGGACAAAACCGATAACCATTTCGTTCATTGAATGTTCAACTAGTGTCTGAGTAGTCATATACTCAATATCCTTAAAAATGTGTCCGGTGGAAACTTCTCTCGTGACGCCTGTGAATCTGCTATCATTCATCTTGAGCATCGACCTAACCACCTATTACCCGTCAAGAATTTTCAGTGATAAAAGTTATGAAAGATGTTTGTATAGTTATTTCCAGTTAAATATCATAGCACATATCAAGTGCACACATATACAACAAGTTGTTCAAAAATAAAAAGTGAATGCATCTCCATCACTATAAACAGTTTTGAGTCTCATTGTCAAGAATTGCAAACTCTAGGTTCTTATTCTCTCCAGGATCATATCAAGCAACTTACAACTCCCTGCACTCAGATCAATGGTTAAAGACTTCATGAAGTTATGCTAAATCCTGGTCTGACAACTTTAAGTCTTCGTACTACCCAATCCTTACTTCCATTAACATCGCACGTTAAGGCAGGCAGCGGCATGGCATGCATAACACGTGTTCATGCCATCTGTCGATGAAAGTTCACAACTTCATTGACTGACCTGCTTTGGTTGCCTAGTATCCTAGACCCAACCTCTACATTTATGACAGATTCCACTACGCCTAAGCAAGACTGTGAAAATACCTGTGGACAAAACCGATAACCATTTCGTTCATTGAATGTTCAACTAGTGTCTGAGTAGTCATATACTCAATATCCTTAAAAATGTGTCCGGTGGAAACTTCTCTCGTGACGCCTGTGAATCTGCTATCATTCATCTTGAGCATCGACCTAACCACCTATTACCCGTCAAGAATTTTCAGTGATAAAAGTTATGAAAGATGTTTGTATAGTTATTTCCAGTTAAATATCATAGCACATATCAAGTGCACACATATACAACAAGTTGTTCAAAAATAAAAAGTGAATGCATCTCCATCACTATAAACAGTTTTGAGTCTCATTGTCAAGAATTGCAAACTCTAGGTTCTTATTCTCTCCAGGATCATATCAAGCAACTTACAACTCCCTGCACTCAGATCAATGGTTAAAGACTTCATGAAGTTATGCTAAATCCTGGTCTGACAACTTTAAGTCTTCGTACTACCCAATCCTTACTTCCATTAACATCGCACGTTAAGGCAGGCAGCGGCATGGCATGCATAACACGTGTTCATGCCATCTGTCGATGAAAGTTCACAACTTCATTGACTGACCTGCTTTGGTTGCCTAGTATCCTAGACCCAACCTCTACATTTATGACAGATTCCACTACGCCTAAGCAAGACTGTGAAAATACCTGTGGACAAAACCGATAACCATTTCGTTCATTGAATGTTCAACTAGTGTCTGAGTAGTCATATACTCAATATCCTTAAAAATGTGTCCGGTGGAAACTTCTCTCGTGACGCCTGTGAATCTGCTATCATTCATCTTGAGCATCGACCTAACCACCTATTACCCGTCAAGAATTTTCAGTGATAAAAGTTATGAAAGATGTTTGTATAGTTATTTCCAGTTAAATATCATAGCACATATCAAGTGCACACATATACAATCACTTTTAACTTCAGTTAGTTTACGTGCTTGATCAGCTAGTGAATATATATGCTAGGTATTACATGAAAATACTAGTGGATTTTTCTCCCCGTGTAATTCTGGGTCATTAGGATACCTTTATTTTGCGTTAGCTAGGGGATCAGCGCTCCTTAAGCTCGACTTGGAATTCTATCCATATTAGTGACATTCACGATAACCCATTTGAAATAGTGTTACTCATATGTAGTGAAAAGTTAGCGACAAAACCTTTAGGTTGTTTCGTATTATGTTACATTTTCCGGTGAAAAATTACCTCATATCACATTCGTTTTCCTAAGGTACTTTAAACGATATTGAAAAGCCAACTGGAATTGCTAATGCGAATACAACTGAAAATATAGAGACTTCAGATCAACTTGCTCCGACTGAAGATAATAAGTCAGAAACTGAAGTTCAACCGCAACGTAGGAGGCAGTGGGGATCACGCTCAATTTCTAGCACTCCATCATTATCTTCGGAGTCTTTGGAAGTGAGTTTTTAGCATTTCAAAAAAGTAATGTCTGAGTAATGTAAAATATTGTGAAATTAGGAAAAACTATTTTGTACAAATTCGGGAACTATTTAGTGCATGTGTGCGTATGCAGTCACGATAGTTTGATTTGGTGTTTTATGCGTTCAGTTCCGTTGCTACCTGTCATGCTAAGTTGTGACCAAAGCTCATTTCAAACTCTCCTTACTGTTCGGCAAATAGATCGAAGTTTCTGTAGTAAGCTATTATTGAAGCCGAATGGCAGTTTCATGTATGAAACTGGAGGGGAGCCTTGTGAGATACAATCTTCGGTTTATTGATTTAAGAATTAATTATACTTGCACAAATGTTTATAACTCTTTAAACTTTGTTTTTATCCAAAGTTGCTGTTTAATATACTTTTTAGTCATTTTAAAAAAAATCTTATTGTCACTATATTTAAACAGAATGTCACTATCATTTTTTTTAATCTTTGCGCAGAAACTTATCCCACCATCTGCGTGCTGGGTAAGAAGTAAAAGTTTAGTTGTGGATACCGAAAATGAAGCTCAATCAAATGATCCTGTGGTTTTACAGGATATCACTGAACACGATGAAGCTATTAAATATCCCACTGTTCCAGATGAAAAAACTCGAACCATCTAGTATTAAAGATGAAAGTGAACCGGATCATGTTGAAGGAGATGGTGTGAATAATAGGAAACAGTCATCAGGGGATAATCATGATGAGGTGAATAGAATGCTTACTGTGAGCAGTGGTTGTGTACAGCTTGAACGTGAAGTTGAGTTGGAAGTGGATGCAGTTGTGGAAAACATGGATGCTGATGACAGTGCTATAGAGGAGACAACCGGTGCATATGATTCACGTACTGTCCATTTATCTACAGATATTAGTCCAAAATTAGATGTGATTATAAAACGTGGCTCTGTAAATGCCAGTGCTAATGCTCATGTTAATAATCATCCTACTGTTAAACAGTCTACAGATGGGACATCGAGTGTACACTTGAATTCATCTCAGTCGAATCCTTCATCGACTACAATAAAAAATAAATCTCCACCATCTAAACGTAAAGGTCCAAAAGGTAATTAAGTATGATTAGTGCTGTTTCCCTATTCTCCAATTTTTTCACTTCTATTCGTGTAAGATTCTATATGTTAGTATTGTTGTGTTTATAATTGGAATTAGAAAATGAAAATATAGTCAGTTTATTGCATTTCCCCCAAATCGTCTCAATGGGATCAAATCCATTGTAGTATCGTTAGCTGAAGATTATTTGCACAGTGTTTGATTGTTCATAAGTTTTTTAGTCCTAAGTCTTTGTTTTCGAGTGAACCGATGCACTTGTGTGCAAGGTTCCAAGTTGATTTTGTTTGTCTGCCTTTGTTTTAGTGCATTTCACAGGGGACTTACTCGGTAAGCTTCAGGCTAAAATACATTAAAGTACACCTTACATGAACAAAACGCAGCAGTAATAGATAGTTTGCTGCACTTCGACAACAGAAACTCTAGTAGATACCTTCTTTCAGTGTTATAAATATTAGTCGTCATTTTATAGCGCCATTTGGTTTAAGTAGACAATGTACTGGAGCATTCAGTACAATTCGCCTCCCAAAGTTTACTCAGTGCATGTCATTCTAACTGGAGTTACTGAAGACTTTTTCGGTCAATTTAATATTTACTGCTTCTGTTTCTGATTGTTCGTTTTGTTTACTTCTAGAGCTATATCTCAAGGACTTTTTATGATTGCGTTTGTTTTTCCACTCTACCTGTCCATTTATTCTGTCACTTTTAGCAACTAAAACCAACTGATACACAGACAAACTCACCAGTGTTCAGTGTCGCACAACGGCGTGCTAATGCACGTTACTACACCTCTCGATAATGTATTGACTGAAAATCAATGTAAAGAGAAAGAAATAGTCTTTAGTAAACGGCTCCAAACACAAGAATGTTCAGCGTGAAAGATGAAAGTGATTAGGATTCAGGGGGAATTTAATCATAGTGGTCGCACTGCTGTCGTTGATTTTAGTCCATGTCACTTTGTTCTGTGACCATTATCTAGAGAGCTTTAGTTAAGCAGCCTACACTTCTACAAGTTTGGTCTGGACTTCTTTAGTAGGATTTTCCTTTGGTTGATTCTACCACGTGTCGATTATGCTTCAAAGAAGCAAATAAGGTGGCTCTCTTATCGCGTATGCACTCAACAGTCATATGCCTTAATTATTAGTGTTATATTACTTTCCCATTATGTGCATTGTCCTCCTTACTGTAATAATTATTGTGTTTTTTGCCAGTTTTCTTCAAACTATTATTCTGTCTATTCGAAGCCGAATGTTCATATTTTTTTTGTCTATTGACATCGTAGAAACTAAAGCTGTTGGGTATTTAGTCGAACCGCCAGAGCGTATTGAACCTGTACAACCTTCTAAGCACCCACAAACGGATATTGTGTACATTCGTTTTCTCGTACGTCCATTCACAGCTGAACAGCTGCGACAGATGATTTCAACACATTTTGGCTCGGTTGTTGACCTTTGGCTAGATAAAATCAAATCATCTTCACTTGTACGTCTACAAACAGCTGAACTTGCTGCTAAGTAAGCTTTGTTATAAAAACCTAGTGACTTGTACTTATTACACTACACTAATTACTTTTCCTGCCACAATATACTTCATATGTGCTTTTCTCTGTATTAAGATTTACTGTTATTCGAGTAAAAAATTTTAAACTGTTACTGATATATTTTTCATCTTACCCAGATGTCGTGAAGGCTTAGATGGCAGTCGTTGGCCATCAATGAATCCACGTGTTTTGCGTTGTGATTACGCTAGCACTGATCTGTTTGAATGGATGAAAGTAAATGGTGATAATAATGATGTTCAACCTCCAAAACATTTGTTACTTGGTGAGACGTCTTTGTTAATGTCGGAGACTGCTGTATCATCTAAGACGGTTGAAAAGTCAGGTTTGCTCTTTTCTTAAAAGTGTTTTCTAATTGCATCCGTTAATATTCTTCTGATGTTCTCATATCTTAGTGGGAACAATGCACTGTTGTTCAGGACGGAAGTCGTAGTTTCTCGATGCTATGATGTGGCATTGTAGACAAGTTGAAACGTAAATTTTGAAGTGCTAGTTCGTATCTGCGTTCACTAGTAATCATTTTTCGGCACTAATATTGGACAATTGTGCTTGCCTACAGTTCGTCCTTATTTCTTTTTTCTTTTTTTGTCCAGAAATTTCATTCTTAACAATATAGATGTTTATTGTTATCAGCTTTTGTGAAGATGTTCGTTTAGACGATCTTATACACTGAATACGAGTGAGTGTAAGAGTAAGAGAATTTATCATTCAGCTGACAATTGCTGTATCTCAAGACGTATGACCACAAACCACTAGTCGAATACTCATAGCGTGAGTGGTTTAGTAGAGCTTACTCGCTTCGGTTTGCTGTTTATCTACAAATTCTATTCTAAGTGAGTTCACACAGTACGGAAACGGAACAAATCTGCTCTCTTGCACTACTTAGTTTCATTTCCATTTATAGTAATTATGCATATCTTTGTCGTCTTGTATTCAGCGTATTTGTATGTAGGATTGAACGTTTAAGGTCACAAAAAAGCTCTTGATTTTCGTTGCTGATGTGTCGATCGCATTTATTGTGAAATTCCATTTTCAACCTTGTATGCCCAACTTGTTCAGTGCATGTTGATGTGTACTGATGTCTTTGTGTAAATATAGTTGAGAATTTTATTTCTTTTCACAAGTATAAATTGTCGTATCGGAATTCCTGTTTCTTCCATCAACTTATCCACTCCTTTTTGAAATTTCTTGCGGAATTTATTCATTTTAATGGATTGATTGATTTGATCTGGAAATGATTTGTGTTTTTTTAGATAATGAATTTATTGGGTCTACTGAACGAAATACAAAATCTACAGACTTACGACGAAAATTAGAACGAACCAATCGGGACTTAGAGCCCACTGAAGTTACGAAACCTAGACAAAGTGAAATTAAAGATTCTCCAGTAACCGATATGAAATGTAAGCACTACCTGGATTCCGTATATGCCACAAAATATATGGTTTTGTGTAGTTTGGACTTTAACACTGTCATGAAAGTGTTGAAAGAGTATTATTTTGTTGGTTTTTTATTACATAAAAAAAGTATTCACAAGGTCCCATGGTTTATTCAGTCTTTTTCATTCCTTCTATCGCGTGAATGTTGTCATCTTTATCAATGAATATGGTGCTTCTGGTATCCCCTTCAGTAGGCTATGATTTCAGAACAGATGATGAGTTCGCTGTCATATGGGAGTGGGTGGAGTGGAATGTGAACATGTGATTCGTTGCTTGGGAAATCTCAGTGAGCCACATCATGAAGTAGGCGAAAGGGAGGTGGTAGATGTAAACGAGTTGTCAGTATTTTTTCTGCAGAAGAAAAGGAGCGAAGCTTAAATTCTCAGCAACTGTGGCAATCAAGTTTTTAGGTATGTTGCGTAGATGGACCAACTCCAAAAAATATCATTTTATGTTGACAAAAATCGGATTTCCTTGGATTCACTGTTTTGAGGAAAAATCGTTGTCTTCCAGAATATGTTTGTCACTAATTGTATGTTACCACTGTATTTTTACATCATAGTTACCTATGGACATACACCCAAATAATTTCTGCTATTCGGTTCTTTCTTTTTTATTTTGATCGATATGTATATAGTAGCGAAGGGTGAAGAACCTGCAAAGCTGTTAAATAATTTGTTTCGAAAGACAACGGCTACCCCCTCGATTTACTGGCTTCCATTAACTGATCAACAGGTGTGTTTCCAATTTCTTAATAATTGAATTTTCTCGCTCACTCTACAGTTTTTCACCCGTTTCTATGTCTATGTGTTTTGCTGACTGACATAATGTTATGTACTACTGGTTGACAATTTATATGCAAATTGATGCTGCCATATATGTGACACACTTATTGTGTCTACTGATAAAACTACCTCGGCAGGTGCAGTGAATTTCAACTGATGGACACATAAACAAAAACTGACCTACCAGCTTCACGATCCAATCACACCACATCTCACATCGGTAAATTAAGATATATGATAGCAACACGAGCGTTGGAGAATAGTTGACAATAATGTAGTCAGACGTCGTAGAAAGCTATATGACAGAACAAACATTGAAATGTCAGAAAATCAATATAACTGTTGAAATAAAAATAAGGCCTTGATGCATCGTATTCATTGCAACCGCTTTTGAGACGTACCATGCTAGGGGGGAGTTGAATTAGGTTGGAAGAGAGTTCAGGGTGACCAGACCAAGATGTAGCCACTAGTTGATGAAGTCTCTTACTGTTGGTCTAAGGTGTGTGGGGAGATGTGGACTGCTTGGTTGGAGTCCTCAAAGCGAAATGAATCAATGTGTTGAAGACTTGGTGACGTGGCTGAAAATCAGTCACAATGGCGCAGACGTATTAACTTCATCTTTCTATAAAGCTTGAATATGTGCACTGTCGTTTACCTTCAGACTGTTTATTCTGTCACACAAATTCGTCTACTTTGATATCATTTTTTTCTATGCACCTGTCCTATATATACTACTGTGAAGTGTGTTAACTTGAACTGATGTGCTTGTGTGCGAGGTTCTACGTGGATTTTGTTTGCTCATTAGTTATTCTATAACAAATTTGTGACTGGTTAAAAGTCGAATACCTGTTGCTGCATTTTCCGCCTTTTCTTAGTGTAAATAAGAACAAATGACTGGTGGTTATAATCTACCAAGGAAGTGAAATAAATGTTGAGTAAAGCGCGCATATATTGTGACTAGTAATCGGAATAAAATGACGAGACTGCTTTGTTTTCCGTGCAGTCTGTTTTCCGTTACTGAAGCATGACACAAAAATGCCCTTTCAAGTCACACATGGTTTGCTGACTTCACTTTTTTGTTGCGTTTTCGTATATAATAATTCAAAGTACCTAGTGGTTATCAATGTGGTAATGTTCATGAATCTGTTCACTGTGTTTTACTACTTGATATACTCATTTTGAACAAATTCTCATTGTATCGGCTTTTGTTATTTCAAGGTAAACCGACGAACAAAGAAAGCGGTTGCTGAAAAATCAGATGATAAAAAGGTAACTAGCAGACATTCATCTCGCCATTCTGAAGAACCTGGACAAAGGACTACGCGTAGTCCTTTTGGTGTTACCTCATCTCCTCCTCTTCCTCCATCTAATAATATGTCCAGTCAGTCTTCGCGTAAGGACTTCAACGCTGATCGGAGCACTGGATCAAAAAACTCAGATGATAAACGATTACCTACCACAAAATCTAATGATAATGGTAGGCATGTATCAAACAAGAAGTCGTTGCAAAATAATGCTTTATCTGAAGATAAACATTCAACTTCCGAGTGCAAGCCGAAGTCTACCGCAGAATCTAAAAGTGAAAATCGTGATACAGCCGATAAGCAGGGGAGATTGTTAAAACCAGATGCTGGAATCGCTCATAGTTCATCATCGAAAACCGATAAACTAATGGATGTTAGTCGCAAAAAAGAACCAGTAGGTGTCGGTATTTGTAAATTCTAAGATTTTTTTAATATCGTACTGAGATTTTAATCTAACGATTGTGTGTGTGATAGTAGGTTTAATTTTTGTTAATTTCATAACTTTGGGGATGGTAAAGTTCACGAAATCTTAACACTTTTGTCAATGTGTCTTTAAAGGGAAGTCGTTTTTTACTGTCATTCGTGTTGATGCTGTTGTTTTTGAGTTTGTACTCAAAGCTGACAACCATATTCGTTGTATAAATGTATTTCTATGAAATAACACTCATTCATATGTGCTGCTTTTGGAACTGCTCTAAGGGCAGCTGCAGTCATGTTTGGCAACCGAAATTATCGATTGCAGCTATAATTTCATTACGGTTATGCAAGTATTTTGAGTCTTAAACTGTTGACGGAGTGAACTTGGTTAGTATTTGCCGTCCTACTGCTCTTAGACTTTTGTGAAGAGGCTCTTTTCATAAAGCCTACGGGACCCTTAGAACCTTGGAACTCCTTTTATAAACAAAGGCGGCTGGAAGCGAAGACAACTCTGTCGGTATTAATTATACCAAAAGATTTACTGAAACACTTATAAGTGACTAAGTGGATGTAGACATCGTCCAACAGAGAACTAAACTTAAAAATCTCATCACTACTTGTGAGATTTTCACTCGTACTAATGTCGAACCTCAGATCATGTACAGATAACTGATGTGTGAGTTATTTATATTATGTGTGAAATAGTGTTATTTATTTCGCATAACTTTACTTTTATCTGTATCATCCCTTCAATTTTTGTTTTTCTTACCTAGTCATCACCGTCTCACGTCGAAAAACGTCGTCCCCCAAAAACGGAAAACAGTGATAACGAGATAGTGTCGTCAAAGCAAAGTCGAACGGCGGTGGCGCCAAGTGGTGATTCATCTGTCGTAAGCGATGCTTTAGCAGCATACAAACGGAACGTTGTAGGATCGCAGCAACATCGTTCTGAATACCGAAGACGTTCACCAAGTGGTCGTCGCAGTCCTCCAAACCATAGAAGCAGCTTCAAGAGCAGTCGGCCAGAAAGCTCACGTGCTAGAGAACAAGGATCTCACTGTCGTAGTAACGTCGTGAGACGTCGTTCGCGATCAAATGACCGAAGGAATCGCTCTCGATCGACTGGACGAAGAGACCGTTCATTGTCCGATCGATATCGATCACGAAATTGACCTATATTTCACGCCATCTGAATTTGTATTCACGTATTATGCCACCTCATTTTGTGCTCATAAATTTCCATTTGTGTTATACTCCTCTTTTCTCCCTGTCGTCGTACTTGTTATCGCTTCTTTATTTTGTGATGATATTGTAACTTCATGGAAATTTGAAAACGAATATTCAATGATTTGTTTTCGATTGTTCTTATAAGTTCTGCTGAGGTATACTAAGGTGCATATTGAATCTTAACCTTTCAGTCGATAGCATATGCATGTGAGGATGTGATTGTTATACGGCTTGGGCACCACTCATTCGGCCTTCATATTCCACTTCATCTACGTAGATCTGCTTGATTGAGTAACATTATGACCCTTCAATTAATAAATGTGCTTCGTAGACCAGTATATAAGATCGTCGCTGAGTTATATTTCTTTCAGCTATGCAGTGTTTTTACTAAGCGACCTAATCTGTAGAATCTAAGTAGCAGTACTTAGATCTACATGAATACACTTGTGAAAGCCATTTTTATGAGGCTTGTTTTTTAATGATGCCAGTAAATGATTATTTAAGGGTAATAAGTTTCACATTCAAGGTGGTATGACGTCAACGAATGCGCTAGCTACAGTCAACAAGGGAATAACGAATTCTTTTCAACTAGAATATCAGGATATGAATCCTGATGAGCTAGACAGTAAGAGGATTATGTTGAAGAATCTCAGTTATTCAAGTTATTCAGTCTCATTGCATTGAGGTAATGTTATATTACTGACTAAAGTGAATAATCCGAAGTCTGTTGGAGTATCGCTATAAGTACGTGTCACGTATCTCAAAGATTCTTCAAGGTGAAACACTCACCTGACAGTTCCACACAACTGTTCGAGCATGTACAGTCTAAGTTTCATGTAAGCAGGAACACGACTCAGTGTTCATGTGACATCTAATCTGGACTTATATAATAGCTAATCAGTGAGTGGACTCGGTTTTACTGAGATTTTAGAGGGTTTAGTATATCTATCAATTGTTTCCGGACTTCTTGGATCACCAAGTGAATGCACATTGAGTGAATCAGCTGAATTTTCATGCTCATCTTTAACGTCCTGCTTGTGCTTTACATAACAGTCAATTTTCTCTTGTAGATCAAACCATGTCAATAATGCACCTTTCATTACTATGGAATTGTATTTTTCCATGCCCGATGACATGGTTGCTTAGTGTCTCAGTGTTTTCGATCCACTTAGCTCCAAAATAACTTTATTGTTGTGTACATAGTACTGTTCAAGCTACAGTATTAACAAGAATTTTTCTGGTTCAATTTGTGCACCTGCCCATTCCATAAATTTGAAGGCAAGTTTTTCAAATCAAACGTGGAGTACTATAAGCTGAATGAATGTATAGCTTGTAAGATCAGTGATTTGAATGAGAAAATAGCCTGAAAACAGACCGTTATGTGAAGTGAAAAATCTGATATACAATTCACTCAAATGCAGTAGGTATAGTAATCGTTGACACAGTTGAGACTGGCTGAATGGAAAAATCAAAGTAGAACCTCGCATACAAGTGCATTGGACGTAATGGTTGCAACTGGCATAAGTTGTCTTCATCAACTCTGCATCACCAAATGAAGACTTTCGTTCCTCTTTCAGATTCACCAATGACAATTCTATGAAAGGTATTAACAGTGGTAAGGCTGTAGGATTGCAACTGAAGATACGTAATATATATTAAGTCACCTCCTCTACAGTAATTTAAGCTATCTAGATTACAGCTTTTGCTGAGATAACCTTTTTTATGCAATGCGGGGATGTGATAAATAAACAATGCATTTAAATATGCAATGATGATTCAGAAAAGCCCATGCAAAAATGAATCCAAGCTCAATAAAATCACTGGTGCATATTGGCACCAAAATTACTATACAAACCCGGTAATAACGGAAATCTTAACAAATATAGTTTACCAATCAACAAATGCTTCTTGAAATGGTGGAAGTGTTTAGACAGTAGCGGATTTACAGAATGGTTTATGCATTTAAACTCACCAAAGAAGACAAAGTTCATCGATTTGAACTTCATAGTTGATTGTGACACTGGTGTCCTAACTTTTAAAGAATATTCTTTGCATCGAGGTGGTGAGAGAGATTCTTCAGGTATCCAACGCAAGACCGTGGAGGAGGAATTCATAAGACAGTTATACTTGTGCAATGGCAATTCAGTCAACTCCACGACGAAAATGTCGTTCATTTTGAAATGAGTGGAAATCCACATCTTGGGATTGATAGTCATCAAACACTAAACATACATTTTTGAAGGTTAAAACAAGTCCCAAAGATGTTTAAAGGATATATTTTATTACAGACTGACATCAGTTTGGAACCAGTGAAAAGCACTGAACAAACATTTCGGTTTGAGACCCTTCAACAGTGCATACCTATTAGGAGTCGAGCACAGAAACGTTAGATTTCACGGTGAGTATGGTCTCATTTGGCCAACAGGTTGAAAGGCGATTTCCCTACTTCTAAACTCCCAGCTCACGATATACCACGACCATCATCAAGTATCATCGGTGATTATCTGCCTCACATCCAACTCGGTTGAATACACGGGTCATGAGTGGTAACTAGAAATGCAGTAAATCCATTGCGACGCAAGTCACCAATGATTACTCGATAGTAATTCAGATCATAAGCATTCAGTTGTTAAGAATGTCCTGAAAGAAGTTGATTGCCGAGTCAGGTTGATTCATTATATTAGTTACGCGCGGTAAAGTCGAATCTATACGCTTCTTTTTCACGTGGTTCTTGATTATATCAATTTGCAGATTTCCTGTTGTGTCTGACTACTTATTACTATATTTTTGTAGTAATATTTCAGTCTACTCCATACATTTGGCTTACGGCTTCGCTATTCTCCTCAAATACTGTTACCAACGTTTCGGTATACTACGTATAGGCGTGAGCTGTTTTTCTATCTCAACACTAAACTTCGATTTTAACGTCTTCTCAAATGGGAAGATCTAAGGCTAAACGTTCTAAAATTGACTGCTCTAGTGAGAAAAAGCAAAGACTTGGTCATTCCAGTGCTCTTTTGTGTGACAGAAGCATTGTTACTACGTGTACCTCAGATCTCGATGATCTGGTATACCCCACACCTTTTGTCAGAACTGAAGACATCATATCAGTCATGAGTAGTATTATTAACGACCACAGGAAAGAAATCGACGACATTAGGACCATGATAGAAGAGATTCGGAGAATAGTTGAGGATTTATATCCATAAGCATATCTTCTAGGGAAGTGTAGGGATGCGTGTTACAATTCCGTAACGTTTGATCAACCCTACTTAACTTGATGTGCTCTAGTACCTGCTTAACCAGTACTTTACCCAACGTGTAAGTACTGATAACAAAACACAAATCAAAAAACTGATACGCAATGTATTTGAAGGAGCTATATATTTAAAGTAAATGTAATAATAATGAATGAGGGAAAAGTTTAATCAACTTATCTGGCTTGTAAGGCTGAACTAAGGACTCGGAGTACGTGCGTGGTGATCAGCACAATGGAGCGCGAAAAATGGCGTCCAAGCCTGCTCGGATGCATGCTCGTTAAAACAAAACTGAAAACACCCTAAGCATCCGGAGGCAAGCTAGAGATTTATTTAGTTAATTTAATTTAAACTATTTATTTTAGCCCTAGTTATATTTTGGTGCCAGGAAGGTGCACTACAGAAGCATGAGAATTTAGTTGAAGACCATTTGGTGAAAGCAGAAAAATTAATAGACAACTTAGCAACAGGTAATGAAGAGACTATCGTCCCAACAGGCCATCGTTTATAACATACCTGATACCCTATCCTTGTATATAGTTAAGACAAAGGTATTAAACTCATGAGGTATGACAGGAATACACTGACTGTAAGTGCCTCCGCAGAAAGTCAGCGCAGTCTAGCTGCCCCATGATCTTCAAGTTCACTACTTCATTAGACGCCAAAAGATTTATTAAACTACAAGACCACATAAGGTTACATAGCAGCTTTAAAAGCATTGCTGTTGCACGAGACAAAACCGCGTGCCAACGCAGAAAACAAAGAAGAAGTAGTCTGACCAGTTCATCACCTTTAAACACAGAGGCTGCCGTGTGCATGAACAGACCATCAGAAAGTGCTGACATGGTCAGTAATTCTGTTGAGTGTACCTCTTCATCGGAACAACAGTCTCAATCAAATCTAGCAACAAGTGGATTCAATCCTTCAGTTGCTCGTGAAAAGAAAACTGTTTGTGCCGTCCCCCCTCCTGAGGTGACCATAAATAGAAGTCCACTGGGTGACAGAAAACTAAGAAGTTCGGGCGAAACCTCACCATCTAAAGCTGAAACATTCTTGAAGAAGGAGCATTTCAGGCGCGTGCTATCTAACGACGGAGAAGAATATTTCATAGCTAAGACACTGGCAATGCAGGAACCCAAAAGGCAAGTTTTCCATCAAACCCCTTCTTTCAGAAATAAGTGTCATGACAACTCGAGGTTGCATCACACGAAACACTCCTTTGGACCACATCACTTTAATCACAGGGGTCATAACGTGGTGCCGAGTAGCGTACCGAACGCTCAAATGTCCTACATACCACAAACACCTAACCACTGTTCAGCTGTGCATCTTAATAATCCTAGTCAGTACTTTGGGAACAGATGTACACTCCCTGCCAGAAACTTCCCCACTTATGAACCCTACAAAGATTTTTTCGGACCCCGCACAATATGTACGACCCATGGTGTTTAGGCTCACTCGACCCCCTGATAACACAGGGCTGGAACCATTTTCCTCGACTTACACCGGTCATAAACCATACCTTACACCAACGGTAAACAAGAGGTGCACGTTAACAACCAACACGCGACGTGAAAAACTAGGTAATCATATACTTGTGAGAGACAGAAACTCACCGACATACCCCACTGTTAAGTCCTGTCACGTCTGATACATAGGTAGTGCATCGCCTAGCGAACTGAATACCAGGAATTCTTCCGCTAACCGAGGCTTAAGAGACATAGTAAGTTACTTTGCAAGCCATGGTAGCCTTTTCACGCTTCTGCTTATTAGTGCCCGCTCGTTACTTCAGAAAATATCCGACCTTAGGACAATAGTTTTGCTAACCAAACCCACTGCATTATTAGTTACTGAATCATGGTGTACTGACTCAATCCTAGACGTGGACCCGTGTATAGATGGTTATGCTCTGTATCGCACCAATCGTGACCACAAGCGTGGTGGAGGCTGTTTGATCTATGTGTGTAGCCTTGCTACCTCAAATAAGATGGAAGATGATATCTTCAATGACCTGCCGGACTCACTTTGGATCGTTATAAACGGTGCCAACTACAAAATCCTCATAGGTTGTGTGTATAGAGCGCCATGTTCAACAAAAGAAAATGATGAACTGATGGCTAGATCATTTGCTCACGCAGGATCCCCCACTGTTGACTTCAAACTGATTGCAGGTGACTTTAACTTACCTGAAGTTAACTGGGAGGTCGGTCGCGGCCCACAACGATTTGATGAAATGCTTGTTGTCACAGATATTTATGGCTGGAAGCAATACCCATGCATGGAGATAGTATACTGGACCTAGTCTTTTGCTGTGACATCGTCCCTGTCACTACCCATGTTGGTAGCGAATTTCCTAACAGTGACCATAGGATGGTATTCTGTTGCTTACCAATTCTTCCTCCCAATGAGAAAAATAAACAGTCTTCAAATTATACTCGGCATAGAAGCTATAAGAATATAGAATGGGAAGTACTCATCGAGCTACTCAGGTGCTCCCTGTGGGATGACTACTTTACCACAGCCTCATTAACACACACACTCTCACTTTTCTACAGAAATATAGAGCTGTGTCTAGATACTGTTGCTCCTGTGAAAACAGTTAGGGTTTATAAGGAGCCAGACCCATATATCCCTAAAATATTCCGCACTAAATTTGGGGCATGATCATCATAATACTACTCGTCGAAAGACTTCATGTCACTGCACTTAATTCATGAGACTTACGAATCTATCAAGACACTACGTGCGAAATACACAGTAAACGAAGAGATGGTCGCTCTCAAAAGTGGCTCTAGAATACACATGTTGACATCTCTTCTGAGTAAACGTCTGAAGCCGTCAACGGATGTAGCCTATCTACTACATAATGGGGTGGTACACCACGATCCCCTCAAGATTAGTGAACTGTTTAGCGAATCATATGCTAACTTCAACCCTAATGCCCCAACCCCACTAGCTTTACTCCAATAACCACTAGTTCATGTACTAGAGTGGAGTTCACCGCCAAAAGTATCATTGAGGCTATCAAAAGCCTGAAACTATCGACAGGTACGGGGATAGATGACCTAAACTCAATAGTCATCAGAAACAGTGTCGATGATATGCCGCTGTTCTTGCTTAAGATATTCACACTATCAATGGAAAGGGGGAGTATTCCAGCGAGTGGGAAACTAGCTTTATAATTCCCCGCTACAAGTTCGGTGACAGTGCGAATATTGGTAACTACAAACCTATCAACATAACTCCAGACGTCTCCCGAATTACGGAAAAAGTGACTAAGAGCAGCATGTCTGACTACCTGCTTAGCGAAAACCTCATCACAAAGTCTCAGCACGGTTTCATTAAAAACAGATCTTGCGTTACTTGCCATTTCGACCTCTTCAACCTTATCACTAGTAGCCGCGAGGCACGTAAAATCGTCATTGTTCTATGCTTTGATATATCAAAGACATTTGACAAGGAGCCACACAGTATTCTCTTTGATAAGCTACAATCGATTGGCATCCATGACCCTTTACTTCATTGGCTAAAATCATTTCTTGGTGATCGTAGCCAAATCGTCAAAGTAAATTCTATGCAGTCTACACCCAGGCCCATACCTAGTGGAGTAATATAGGGTAGTGTCCTTGGACCTTTGTTGTTCATAGCTTATATTAATAGTGTGTGCAAGTGCTTTAGTGCAGGGGAAACATCCCTATACGCTGACCTTAAGGTTGTACACTCATGTCACACCCATGGACTAGGTAATACGCTATCTACTGCTCAACAAGAATTCGATGAAGTTGCTAAATGGTGTGACTAGTTCCATCTCAAGTTCAACATTGATAAATGTGATTGGCTTAGCATAGGCAGCGATAACCTAGATGTGTCTCTCGAAGTATGCGGGCAAAGGCTACCTAGACGTTCTTCAGTGCTAGACCTTGGTCTTAGATATTCCAGTGACTTAACATTCTCTGAGCAGACGGCTTGTATCACATCTAAGTCACGTGGACTCCTTGGATGCATCGTCCGTAACTTTTATAGCACTGAATCAATGGTCCTACTCTGCAAAGTGTGCATCCGTCCAATTTTAGAAAACTGCCCGTTTATCTTAAGTGGCCTTCGTATAGGTGACAAGGGAAAAATTGGAGGGGTGCAACGCCACTTTACACTAAAAACACTTAGAGTTGACTACAGCCTAGACTACATCTCGAGATGTAACATGCTAGTACTGGAACTTCTCTGGAAGAGGCGACTTAAAATGAATCTTATATTTTATTATAAATCACTTTGTAAGTAAATGCACTCATGTGACCCGAAAATTAAAACAGTTGTAGCATCTACTCACTATTTACGTAATCACAACCTATTAGCTGAAAATGAGTGTTGTAAGACTAAATTGCGAAGAAACTTCTTCATCAATAAGTTCTCTCACATCTGGAATAGACTTCCTGAGGAAATGCGTACTGCAGGCTCATTATCTGTCTTTCGTTCTGCCCTTAATAAACTCTTAACAGATGATGATTCCATCACTCGCCTAGGCAATATATATACGTTCTGGGCTAGTGAAAGCGTACTAGGACCTCTAGACGTATAGAGTAAAGCTATCATAAATCTCAAGTACTTTTTACCTCAATGGACTCATAAAGGGTGTTTGACTACTAGTCCTTCTGGTTGGATTGTGCAGTACAAATACATAACCAGTGTTCCGTTTAAGTTTACTGACAAACCGTCTATCCAAAACTCGCGTGAACTTCATGTAAGAAAAAAAGGATTATTCATACTCATATGAATAAATTAAGGTTTACATATAGTTCGAATGACTTTAAAAAGACAAGAAATTCTCTCTTCCCAGTTTTGTTTTACGTGGTATTCCATAGTGCAGTTTCTCCGTGCGCTTTCTTTTCAGTATCAGCCTGATGAGAAAGTCCGATCAAAAAGTATCAACTTACTGGAAATCCTACTTCGCACCTAATACTGGAAACTGATGTTAGAGGTATTCAACTAGTTCGCCCCGATTTTCCTGTTTCTTGAATAGCTTAACAACCAACTCACCTGCCTACCAGTACCCTAAATGCTACCATATGCGAAACCCCAAGCACAATAACTGGTCTCCGGTTTCTGGTTCGTCACAAATGCAGCGGAAATCTGGATAAACAATCAAACCCGAGAGATCACTTTACCTAACGGCAACACATCTATAATAATGCTATGCAACAGATTTCTCTAGTACTTTGTCTTGTATCAATCCATCTAGTAGAAGTCAATTAACAGCCAATGTATCTCCTTGACAATGTTGCATACTTAAATGTGAAATCTATGAACTTCTGCACATGTTCAAAATCTACCGTTGTAGAACCCCGGTTTTTCCAGGCTTTAATTACTTGCACCACAACAAATGTTTTCAGTACTACCAATCTGAATTGCTGGGAAAGGTAACACTTGAAGAGTGAGAAACGCCTGAACTTAGACATTCACCTGGATTAAATGATTGTATGGATACTTACTTATTACTGAAATCATTGAAAGTTACTGTTAAAATAGACGTTTATCTGACGAAACACTTGGTCTAGTAGATGGGCCAATCATGTGGACTACTCACAACGCAAACACCAAATATTGCGCCGTTTGATGTGAAGAAAGAATTGTGAGCAGAAATGACTTAAACTCAAAACGATGTGTATGCACTGTAAAGTGATATTTTCCTGCTTTTTTCATAACATTTAGACACTTGGTATCATGATAGAGTCTAATCTCCTCTCTCTGTATCATTCAAAACTGCTAAAACCTTTTATGTTTCTCTGCATTTATCAACTTGATGAGGCCTGTAAACTGGTTTGCCTCATGTTAACTTCATAACTCGAGAATAAAGATATTTTAGGTTGGTTTTAACATAATCCCGGCTTCTTTAGAAAATCAAAAACAGGATTTTTCTGAACGTTTTGCTGTGTACATGTAGAAATTCCTGTCATTGGTTAACTATTTTGTTGTTCAGGCTGATTCTTCCCAGTTAGTCATGGTAAGTTCACGCAGTCTCTGTCATTTGTCATCAAAAAAAATTCAGTAAACAACGTGCTTGAGTGTGTAAACTTTTTTTATGGAAGATGTATCATTCGTTGTTTGACAGTATATATTTTGATGTTGAATAAAAATCCGAATATTCTACTGAAGAGTCTGTGGCATACGCAGTGAAACGTTCGGTAAAACCTTGTTTTCGATTTTTTAAAGACACAGGGATTATATTCGAACTTACCTATACAATGAGATAGTAATTCAGTTGGTGGTTTGTAGGAACGTAATTCTCATGAAAAACTGACACTAGCAAAAGAAACACTGAAAACTTGAAAGAATCGGACAAATATTTCCTCTGCGTTTATGAATTCACACCCACTAATCTGTAAAGGAATTGAGTTCAAAACTGTCCAGACCTCACAGTGAGCAGGTTACCACTCAGACTATATTTATCTATATGCTTCAGTATTATTTTTTTTTTAAAGAAAATAATCGAAGACAACACAGATACGAATTTTTTTTCACTGGATCTTTGTCTTTTGAATCGATAATGATGAAGTGACTTTTGAATGACCACTTTTGTATAAACTGTTGTTACTGCCAACTTTAAACAAAGGGAACATATCCATTATAGTGATTTGCTCCAAATCATTATCATCTTTTTGATTAGCGCCATTTCGACTCTTCATTGTATCCATTTCTTGATTTATCTGTTTGCTTAACCTTGTTTTCCTATCATTATTAGTTAATTTATGCTGGATGATACTTTCCTCTTGATGTATACGAAAATCTGTAGCAAAACGTTTTTCCATATCACTTATATACTCAAAAACTGAGCGTATTTTTAACATGGTCATCTGTTGCCAAAATTGAAAATTGCATAATTCTAAGATGGCTTCAAGTAGTACAGATTCAATTGTTTTAAATTCGCCTGGTTCTAAACCGCGTAATTCAGGTTTTTCAGAAAATGATATCAATATGTTACCATAGATACGGCCTAGACTAACTTTTCCTTCAATTGGATTACTAGCATATTCCCATGCATGTAATAAATGAATCATTATAAATGATAATGTATCCATTTGTACACAGGATTGTGATAAGGTGATCTGTTGAACAATTTCACGTATACGCTTATTTGGACGTAGAAATAAATCTAACAATGGTGATTGAACAATATTCATTGTTGCTGAATGTGAAAAATTCAATAATTTATTATCTAATTCATTTAAAAATAATCGTATAGTCATAATTTTTACATCTAATTTTAATTTATTAACAAAATATTTTAGCTGCTTTTCATTCTGCCAATGTTGAATTATCTTCAATAAGACAATTTTAGCTTCATCATAGGATTCATTCAATTCTTTAAATATTAAATCCCATGATGTTTTATAACATTCTTCTTCAATTTGATTGACTAAAATTCTTATAAAGATTGGTATAAATGGCGCTAATAAAGGACGAAAATTTGTTATCAATAAAGGTCTACGAAATATTCGTGGTAAATGGTATAAACATATTTTAGAGGATGTTTTTTCATCATTTCTACTCTTATTACTTGTATGAAAAGTTGAAGAGTGCTCATTTACACCGCCACCAATTCTACTAGTTTGATCTAGTGTTTGATATAATAAACTTGATACTGTTAGATGTAGGATAGGTGAGGTTAAATTTTTATTCTTTGTAATTGGTATTACAGGCTGTATAGGATTTTTTCTTGATGGAAGATTTGGATATTCATCAACCAATTGTTGACTAGTAAGCAATTTTCTTTTCATTCCTTTCATTATTATAATTTTTTAATCTTGAAAATTTAACAGAATCTTCTTCAATGTAATCTGTCGTTGAAAATTTGACTTTAAAATCAGCATATGAGTTGACAGTCATCAGTGTGAATTGGCACCAGTATGATTTGACCAATCGTACTTGTGTAAGCGTATATGTCAAATGATCGATCGCCTTTCATTGATTGGAGTTTTTTTAAAATTTGTTGACACAAGGTCTACGGGTGTGCATTCTGACTTTGGCGTTCCAGACAGTATCGTCGAAATGATTATGGTGACATAAAAGCAAACACCTATTCACATAAAAAAATTACATATGGATGGATGAGAAATAGTCCGAGAATGACATTGAGACAAACAACCTGAAGACACGAACCGACATACAATAACCGTAAAATGTTGAGATATCTTTGGGCTGTATTTACAAACTGCAGCTTCAGACAGGGAATTCCGATTTGTTCGTTAAATTAGGTTAAATAGTACAAGCATTTTCAATAGACAGATCACTACTATGTATTCATTAACATGCCTCTTAACTGGAGAAAACCACCACTATTATTTCTTCAAACCCACCATTCTACCTCCTGTCAATGGTTCTTGGTTGTTTCAACTGCCTTAGCATTCTGTTCTCTTTGAAGGTCATTCCCCAGGAAATATCTTTCCTGGTTCTACATACGCATGTGGAGCTCACGGTTAAACTCGTTGGCCAAGTGCAAAGGAAAAAGTATCTGAAAGTAAGCCAACATAAATCATTTTCCTTTATACATTCTATCTTTCTGCTGCATTCAGTCTTTGGTCTCTCTGAAGCTGCCAAACACTTTTTCTAATATTTATAATACTGTCACATGTCGGTCCAAAACGGTTGGTCTAATTAATTGACGCGGATAACGCAATCGTACACTAAGAGGGATGGTGACCCCTGAAACGACACTCAAAACTGTACCCAAAGTTAATTAAAGGTAATGAAGGTTACCGATCTCCCGAAGAAGCGGTCAAGCCCTGTTTCTAGGATATCTACAGCTACCACAAAGATGACCCAGAGTAGCCTTATTGTGTTACGAAATAGTCCCACTCCTGGCAGGGGACCAGACTACGCCTAAAAAGAGGAAATGACTTGGGAAGCGTTTGAATAACGTATTCACAAGCAGTTCGCTGGAAAACAGCATCACCTCCAAAGTAAGCAGGTCGCACCATGACATCTGATAACTGAAGTATTCGAATTAAAGTCATATCTGTAGTCTATGAGACATTCGCATGCAACCTATGTCACAGACGGCTACATTGCTACTGTGACAGAAAAGTACCCCGACAGTACTTTAAGTTCATGAAGCGACAACCATAAGAATGGTTCTGGTAAGTCAGTCCAGAATGTAGAAAGCTGCATGCATACGAAAGGCCTAAAAGAGATACTCTCCACCTCACAAAAGTCTTCAACCTCTTCGAACAAAGTAAGTTAAAACTCAAAGGAAACCAAAAACAAAGCTAGGTCTGTAGCTATGTACACACCACCACGCACGAAGACCACTTTAGGTTGGACTTCCGTATCTCTTACCCGGCCACAGAGAACGTCAAGCCCATGGAAAATAACACCATCCGCTGAACTCCGAACGAAACTCAACCTAAACATTGCAATCGAGAAACAACCAGAAAAAATGGATAATATGGGTACAGGTATAAAGTACAACGTAACTGAAGTTATTTGAGCTAGTTGTTGGAACTAGCTGAAGGACTGGTTGTGTGACCTATTTTGAGGCTGTAAAATAAACATATTACAGTTATAATCCTATTTCTCTTTATGTCATTGTGGAGTACTAGTTCCAGTGAATACCAAAGGAGAATAAATTAATTCAGAATTCAATTTTAGTCTGTTTATTACAAATATCACAGTGAAACAGTAGCGTTTACTGGATAACATCGTTTCGGATATAATTTATTGTCCATATTCATTCACCTGATATGAAACGTTATCTAGTAAATGCTACTGTTTCACTGTGTGATATTTCTAATAAACAGACTAAAATGGAATTATACTCGACCACAGTGCCCAAGTTTTACACTTATATTAATTCAGAATTCAGTTTCGAAAACAGCACATTGTTTCAGCCTCCCTTTTTTGGAAACGGTGGAGAAACTACTACTTGGACCTTCACTGAAGGCTTTCAGAGATCTGTAGCAATCTTTATACAGACAGGAAAATTGTTTTCGACGCTGCCACTGTTTTGTATCATAATATTGAGGAGATGCACTCATTAACCTTGTGCAGTGGGCAATGACACACCGATTGAGTGAGGAATAATGGTACTTCTTTCCTGACCAAACCTCTGTAGGTGGAGAGCTGTTGAAAGCTAACTCTGTACACCACTGAGCTTCATATTTATAATGGCTTGTAAAAAAGTATTTCCCTCGGAGTCTGTGTTCTGGGAAAAACAACATTGTGTGGGAACAACGTCATTCACTGAGGCGCCGGTACATGTGACTGACGAGTCCCAAATAAGATGAAACGCGTGTCCTGGGTTTCACTGCTAGCCACCGAGAAGACAAGAATAGAATTGTTATGGTAGTCAGGTTAAAATGTCAGTTTAGTTTAAGTCTCAAAATTGGAGAAGGAGAATAAGATACCTCTTATGATCAATCAAAGAGCTACTGAGAGGGAAGTTGATCTGTAATTTCCTACGCGATGATTTGAAGCTTTAAGGGAAGTGTCTGCCTTATATGTACGGTTTACACAAGATATATGAACAGAATGTTCCATTAGAACCTATATTATCAATAGTAAATTCTCCTTACCGCAGAGCTGCTCGTCAGTTGGTGGAAAGGTTGGAACCTGTTCATTAACGCTTGACCAAATACACTGTGAAATAATCATTCCAGTTTGTTGAAACAGTAAATAAACTCAGTGTCTCGAATGAGTTTCTGATATGACTACCTTATTGTCTGTTAGCATCCTAATCTTCTCCTTCTACCAACAAATGAATTCAAGAAGCTTCTAATATGTATATAAGATGTCCAGTTGTATAACATCTTATGTCTCCAAGTTATCGGAGTGGCAGTCGATAGTTCATTAGGTCCTATATTGGCAGACATTTTAATGGTTCATCTTAAGCTGATCAAACTCATATTTACAACTGATCAAACGACATCCTACTATGGGTCTATTGATAATACATTTATCATATGTAAGAATTTATGTAAAGCATCACTTCTGCTATAAATCTTAATTGATGCACACCGAAACAATAACTTCACAATAATAGACGGTAGACTCCTTTTTATGGAGGTCAACCTTCAAAGAAGAACTGATGATACACTTCAAAGATTTATTCATTACAAAAGCCTCTACCTTAACAGTTTTCATCCATTAATTTACAAACGAGCACTAGTTAAGATGCTGTTTTGTAGAGCACGAAGAATTTGCTTACCGAACAAGCTTGCAAAGGAACTACTGATTCTTCAGAACTGTCTTAAAGAAAACGGATACTGTCAAAGTTTCATCAAAAAATAAGGTAGAAAATAATGCAGTTAAATAGAGTAAGTAACAGTCAGTAGGAATTTAATCTTCAATAGCCTTGAATTCACGGGTGATGATGCTAAAAACAAAAGACTACGCACTGCACTGGTCAGCACTTTTCCTACAACAGAGCAAGTTATCTTAATTCGAACTTCTTGCTTGCTGGTACAATTAATCCACATATATCTCCTGGATAAATTACATTGGGAGAACAGAAAGAATGGCTTATCTTCGGTGTTTTGAGCATGTCAATGGGAGTCTAAAATAATGAAATCACTAAGCACTTAGTGGACACAGGAAATTAAGCAGATGCCTTAGAATCAGTCAAACTAATCAATAAACAGAATAATTTATCTCTTCGCTCCATAGAAGCTATTGGAATCGAACGCCTTAAACTAAATTTATGTGTTCAAATGGAATCTATGGTCAATCTTCAACTATCCTGATAACCTCATTTCTTAAACTTCCACTCATTTGATTACATCATTATCCTGTCAGTTCACACTGAACTTCAATCTTAATCAACTCAGCTCTACTCGTTGTGTTCTGTTGCATTTTGTTTTCCGACTAATTTATCTACTCACCAACTTGTGTAATTTTTTGTTCTAAATTCTAAAGTATTCGTTTCTCTGCCCCCATTTTATTTTTACGAGAATTTTCGTTCCAGTAAGAAGCATATATATATGACCAAACTACATGCCACTTTGACTTCATTTCAATTCAGATAGTTTCCCTAATTCACCGTGCCGTTGTCCCATTGTGAGTGAACTCAGTGAACTAAAGTATGTTAATCTTTTATTGTAAATATTCTAGGTTGCAAGCAGCTAACAAGAACCACCGAAATAATAAAAGGGACCCATATTATTCCACTCGAATGTTTTGTTTTTGCATTTTTATCCTATAACCCAGTGCACTTTACTGTACTGAAAGCTTATCAGAAGCAACGATGACGTCACAGCTCTTAAGTTTTGTACCGTTACGCAGCCGTCTGCTTTGTGTAACTGAATTAAATATTTGGGACTCATCGGCTGGATGTACCTGCAACGCAGTGAGTGATGTTGTTCCTATTGAACTCAAGAAATTCGACCTTGCATAGCAACGGAAAACTACAAGTATCAAACAACAACAACTGATATTGGTTGTACACCAGGTGGCTCTCGTGCCTCAATGGGTAACGCTTTGGTATTTGAAGAGATGGTACTTGGTTAGAGTCTCGGTGGGAACAACGTTGCTCACAGTAGTACAAGTACATCCACCTGACGAGTCCTAAATAGGGCAAAATGTGCGACTTGAATTCAAGTGTAAATCACTAAGATGAACACAATATCATGAATATCTGGCAGTATTGAGGCATCTGCATAGGAGTATATCCACCAACAAAGGTCTACCAATTCGACCCTGTATAGCGACAAAAAACTTCAAATATCAAACAACTATGAATTCAAATACCCTGTGTCCCAATAGTACATTAATATTAAAACCAATTTTGTTTACATGTATTGAATGTTGAAAAACATGATGAATGCAGTTTTGGATTAGCTAACATTATTTCTTTTAACAATCATTCAAATTCCTTGATTTTGTTTTCACTCCCTTCAAATCAGTGAAATGTGCACAGACTAACATTGACAACTGTATGCTTGCTATTGTAACAATGTTGTAATTTCCTTCGTGATAGCCAACAGTGGAGTCCAGGACACGCGTTTCATACTATTTTGGACTTGTCAGCTGGATGTATCTCATTCGTTGGCACCTTTGAAATTATAGGAGAGACGACAATTTTAACTCCAAGAATGCTGGTAAGGAGCACGTATTTATCAAGACATATAGATAATAAACATCATATCGAAATGCAAAGGAGATCACTCCACCACTTCTATCCCAAAAAGGGTTGTTCAAAACAGATCACAGTGGTGAAGAAGCGCCCAGTCTGAATTTTATGCCAACCAAGGTCAACCTATTCCTTTGTGCCTGAAACGATAATAATATGCGTAGCTCAGGATTTGAATACCTAGGTAGAAGTCTTCTCCGAGTTGAAAATGTTTGAAGCAAAGCAGAAATAACAACTTGGAGAACACTATTTATGTATGTTTCACAGAAAAAAGAATCTGTACTAAATTTGCCTGGTTGTAGTAAAATACTTCTCACCTTAAACAGGAATCTTAATCAGTAGGACACTGTAAACGATCGAAATAAGTTACTTACAGTTATCGATGGACAGGAGATTAGTTTCTACAAGAATGACACTTTTTAAAGTGTTTAGAAGAGGCCAGATCAGGTTATGAAGGGTCATAATGCTTTTTGGAAACCAACGTACAAATTGGATTGGGCTATGCACTTCATATATAATGTGGCAAAAGAATTCGCAGCTGATAACTGTGAAACGTCCCGACAGCTTTACTGTTGTACACTGAGCGTTCGAAAATCTTTGAATGCTTTGCTATATAATACTTAAGTACGAAGAAAAATCGACCTACCAAAAGATTATACTTAAAGTAGCTCCTATCGGACAATAAAGTCTTTCAAGGTTGATTACGAAAATAAGATGTAACTTAGCTATCCAGTGCAGGTCTTTATATACTAAACTATGAGAGGGCTTATGACACCAGGCGAAAGTAAGTGGAACTGGTTTTTCACCCTATACCAATTACTTGAATGCTAGGTATTTAAGCGAATTAGACAGATCATGAAAGAATAAATCATGTCTTAAAAGCACATGAAAAGGAAACATTTAATACATTAAAGGAAGTCAGTGTAGAGGATTAACTGTTTTTTGAAGCAACTAATTTCCAGGTGTTTTCATGAGAGATTGGTATCAGCTGAAGAAGCATTGGAAACGAGGTAACACTGGGCTGTTGTTTCATCCCTGTATTACGCTTTTTAAGAGTATGAACCCACTGTTCTGTGACTAAATGGTACCTAGAATCTTTGGGTCTTCAGATGAACCCTTTTCTATTCAACCATTCAACTACAATACAGTGGTGTAAACTTTCTAGCTTCTAGTAATTTGCACAATGGTAGGATCACTACTTAATGCGGTTAATTCCATGAATTAAGGATTCTCAGAAGGACTTCAGGTAATCTTTTTCGAGGCAGTGGTTGGAAAATGTAGACTCTTCGATTTCGATCTAGAAAATAAGTATGAAAGAGGTCAACAAAAGATTGGACAATTCTGGACTTAACCCGCTGTGAAATCATGGGTTTACAAGACTAAGAAGTTTGAAACTGAGAGGAAACATGTGTTGAGTGCTCCTTGGCCTCTAAGTTTACATCAACCTGCGACATACTAGTCAGTAGAATTTGCTATTCAAAAAATTCTTTTATATATTTGTTGGTTGGAATGTACATCAGAAGTGAAGTATATTAGTTACTAGAGAGACAGTGTCTACTAACATGGCTGCCAAATACAACCAATGATACTCAAAAGCGGGCGAAGTGATGCGTACTGACTACGAAAGTACAATTTTCCATTCGATTAACCCTTCATTTACCCATGTATAGTTTATAGTTCGGAAATAATTGCATGTTGAGCGAAATCACCCACTATTGCGAATAGAGTCGTATATGCAGACAAATCAGATTGCCTGAAATATACAAACAATAAGCACCAAACTTTGTTTTCTGTTGCGAACGTTTGGAAGAGTCAAATTGTGATTCATCCTGTGGGCAGATTGAATATACCAGGTTGAGTGAGCAAGTATATTCGAAACCAATCACGTTCAAAGTCGGCGCTAAGATTGAACCGACAGAATTACATGCTTAAGCCAATTACAACCAGACAAATTTATAACAATTGTCTATTCACACCATCTTATGGAGGTCTCTATCTTGACATTCAACTACACATGGATTAACCTAATCACAAAATCTTTGGTAGACTTTGAATACGTAGTCCTGTTAGGCGATGCTGGAAAGATGTAGAGTCTTCCGGACACCTTGAATTGCAATCTGAGAATGTTTGGGATGCGTTTCTCGCCACCTAAGTGCAAATTGTTGCTCGGGAATAAGTCTTCGACTAAAAATAGAGTGAAGTGGTTGAGGGCGTTGTACACTTTACCTACCTGGGGAGTAGGATCAGCCCTGGTGGCCGATGAAATCTCTGCACCAATACAAAAGGCTCATTTGGCTTTTGCCAACTTAGGCCACGTGTGGCACCGCCGTCATATCCCACTGTCTATTTAGGGTCGACTGTACTGTGCTTTAGTCCGCTCTGTTCTACTCTATGGCTGTGAAACATGGTCATTAAAGGGAGAAAACATGAGAAGGCTTCAGGTGTTTGACCTCCGCTGCTTTCGTAGCATAGGCCATGTTTCGTGATGTCATTATGTGAGTAACGCAGAAGTTAGACGTAGAGTTTTAGGCAGGAGAGGTAAGTAAGTTGATGCTGTTGTGAACCTTTATCGACTGAGGTGGCTGGGACATATGTTACGTATGCCTAGCCACCGTCTGGCGGCTCGTAGCATAATGTTGGCCGAAGTAGGTTCAGGCTGGAAGAAGGCTCGAGGTGGCCAGACTAAAACATGGCATCAATGCATGAAGTCATCGACTGTTGGTTTGGGCGCTATAGGACGATTCAGACTAGCCGGTTGGGTCCGCGGGACAGGAGAAACCAGTGGTTACAGACTGTAGGTGATATGGCTTGGAACCGATGTTAGTGGCGCAGGTGCATACACACATTATCCTCACATTAACCGCCATACTTCATCTCATTATCTTCTCATTCCTCCTTCTTCTCTTTTCCTACCTTCTACTTCCTTTGACCGATTTTTATTTCTTCATCTTCCACTTTATTGCCATGATGTGCTGATATAAGGTGTAGCAACTTGGACCGTTACGCAATAATGCCTGGTTTTATGTTGATCTTGATGATGATGATTCACACCATCCTCTCCTACGACTTATACAGACACTGACAAAATCAATGTAGAACTTCCACACAAGTGCATCGGCTCAAGTTGCCACACTTCACAAGGAACAGGTGGATAGAAAAGGAGTGATGTCAAAGTAGACAAAGTTGTATGAGAGAGTAAACAATTTGTAGATAAAGGTTAGTGTGAGTATTTAAACTTTAAGAGATGCTAAGAAGTGAATACATCTGAGCCACTTTGACCAACCTCCAACCACTGATTCCTTTCGTCTTGACCCAAACGAGGCAGTCTATATCTCCTCATACGGCTTAGACCTACAGTTAGGGACTCTATCGACTAGTGCCAGGTCTTGGCATGACCACCCTGAAAGATCTTCCAACCTAATCCAAATTCTCCTAGCATGACACGTAGAGGTAGGCATACTGCATAGACTCACAAATTCTAAATAAGTATATTTTATAATTATAATACAAAAAACTTGTACGCGGGACTTGATGAATAACACTAGTCTCTATGTTATTCAAAAATAAAACAATTCTGAAGTATACATTTTGGAAATAAGATGTATATTACAAAACATAAATTGTATAAAGTAAATTTATTATTAATAATATCGCCTTCGTCTGAAAAAGTGTTATGCGGTGAAAATGAAGTGTATATTGTTACATAATGAACAGCAGTATTAGACGGAGTCAAGTGGGTTGACTTGAAGGCACTATATTCACAAGATAAATAAATACATGATTTGTTGAGACAGGAGGAGGGAACAAGCAAAACGTAACACAGACACACACCATGCAAAAAGTTATAACAGCAGTTGTAATAGAGTTAGTTATGAAGAAATAAATAAACAGTAAAAGGTGTAGAATTCAATCTATCCAATTTGTAAAAAAGGCTGTCTCTCTATTCTAACCATCCTCACTATCACTATTATTAATATCATCATCGCCAGATGATTCACCAGCTATACGCTTAATATGATTACTGTTAGCTACTTTGATTTTTATCCTCTTCGAAGGATCCTTAGTCAACTTCGATTCCAATATGCCTAATTGGGCTAGACGCCATTCTAATTCTAGAATCAAAAAAGTAAACAAAGAAAATAAAAACACACAAGTAAATAACTAAAATCAACTTGGTGGTGACTGACATCGAAACCGAGGACACGTTTCGTCTTATTTGGGACTCATCAGCTGGATTCACCTGCATCCCAGTGAGTGATGATGTCCCTATTGAGACTTCAAGCCAGTACCCATCGCTTCAAACGCCAAGGCGTAATCCAGCAGAAGTCGATCAAGCATAACAACGGGGAGTTATAAGTGCAATAAATAATAATAACTAATACCAGTTGCACAGAGGTTCTTCAATAGTCAAATGGATAACGCTTTGGGGTTTGAATCTCAGTGGGAAAAATATCACTAATTGGGGCGCAAGTATACCTACCTGGCGAGTCCCAAACAAGACGAAATGCGCGTCCTGAATTGCAATGTTAGCTACCATCAAGTAAACTGTAACAATAAATATTCAGGCAGTACCAGGCCATCCGTATAGAAGCCTATATGCCAACAAAGGTCGACTAATTCGACCTAGTATAACAACGGAGAGATACAAGTATCAACAAATACGAATGATTAAATAAGTGATTAAAGTGAAGTGAATCTAAGACTTGACCGATAGCTAGGTAGAGCACTGGGCCGGTAACACAATGGTCGCCGGTCCGAGTCCTTACCCGACCCAGGTTCCCAATTCACCTTCAATCATCGCCTAGTACCAATCTCTTCAGCCCATCAAACCCCGGCTATCTCAGATAGTTTCATTAATAACCAAATAAATTTCATGAAAGTGTGAATTCATATGATACACTGTGTATATATATATATATATATATATATATATATATATATATATATATATATATATATATCTGTGATTCAAAGGATTTAACAACCACTCTTCAAGTTATTACGACAGTCAGTTCAAACTCTGCTAAATTTGATGAGTTTTACTCATCCAAGAAGGATTCAGAGACTTCAAACAATAACTTCAACGCATAGTCTAATATACAGTTATTCAGCTGTACACATATATTGCATACTCATTGAAATCTGTCGAAATGATGCAGATGTATACACTTTTTGCCAGCAATGACAAGTTTTTATCTTGGTAGTATTTCGAGCAAAATTACTGCCCGTGATCACACCAACAGCTGGCTTTTTTTATTCACACATTTAACAATAGATATGAGTGACTGTAAAGGCGACCCAAACAAAGACAGAAATAAACCAATTAGATGCTTTAGATTGCAGACAAAATGTAACTTTTGAGGCGAGACTAACAAACTTGATTGGTTATTTTAGTAGCTGCTGGAGCAGCCGTTGAAGACAACCACAGATATCACATATATACTCTTTATTGTCTGTTTGTTCAATACAATGCTCTATATAGTCGACAGTTTGTTGATTCACCTTCCTCGCATGTGTTAGGGATGACATGTATAAAGATTGATTCTGTTATTAATTTTTCTTTCCATTTGTTAGTATTGGACTTTAGTATAGTAGTGTTGTTCCAATAGGCATATTTTTCATCCCATGCATGAGCTGAGCTGTTATCCAAGTATGATCATTCAGTTTTGAAATGTTTTCATTAACAGCTTGCGTGTTTAACTAATCGTCTTACCCAAGGACAATCTAAAACTGTAGACAAGTCATTTTAAATATACCTAATACATCATGTAAGAATACAGACTTCGGAGAACAAATTTGTTTCCACCGATATCATCCTCTGTAGCTGGACAGTCGCATTAAATTACAGTCCATGAGCATAAGACTGTCAATACTTGTTAATCAATAACTACTAGTAGTTCGTGGCCATGAAAACAACATAGGAATGGAACAGGAAAGTCTAAGGATTAAGAAGTGAATAAGGACAGGTGGTAAAATCGCTTCTGGATACAAAATTCCGGTTTCGATTGTTGTAATGCTGGGACTTCAGTAATGCAAAATGAATGTTTCCTCACACCCTTCGAAGAGTTATATTGTATTCGTAGGTTAGTGTAAACGAATCCTCTGGAACTGTATCCACCTTCAAGCAAATGTCGTAATATGGAGCTGTTAATTGATAGGTGTTGATCTTTACTGAGCCATGCTGGTAAGTGTTGACCTCCACGTTGGACAAGCCTACCACTGCGTACGGTCTATGTACCCAGCTCCACAGAAACAGATGAATTAACATAAGCACATTGAAATGGCTACCAGTGACAATTTGTCGTTCGCACACGTGTTCACCACTGAACGACTAGTGTAAATGATTTTCAGACAGGATGCATAGAATGTTATTTTGACAGTCCTTATCGGTCTGCCTTGAAGTACCTCAGCTGCTGTATCTCAAGTGAATTCGAAGCTCAAAATTAGGTTTTTATCTTCCACACTGATAGGAAGCTGATGTGTAGTATTCCAGCGTAGATTTTTATCTATGAATCTGTCTGGGTATTAGTTTGCGATGAAGTTGAATTTCGTCTTCTAAAGTGTCGGGGCTGCGAATCTTCAGGATTTGAGAAGAAAGGGAATGGATTAAATTTCGTTTTCGGCTAATTGGAACTCTGTCATGAAAGTTTGTCATTTTTTCAACTCATGTATATTTTTTATATGATCTTTTGCGCATCCCATCATCTCTTCTTGTTAAAAAGATGTCGAGAAATGGCATCTTTGAGTACGATTCCATCTTCATTGTAAAGTCGATGGTCGTAAAAGGTCAGGTGCACAAAACTTCGGTTCAGGTCTGTTCAACTAGATCTCCTTACTCTGTGCCTTTGATCCCCGTTGTTTTCCTACGGTTCGGTGGTGGCCGTTAAGGTGATTTTAATATGAGAAAGTGCTTGCTCTTGCACCGCGAAGATAGTTAATTAATTAATCTAGTGGAATTATCCTGAAAAAACTCTAGTTTTGATAACAAGGGCCCTTTTTACGTGTCTCAACTCAGCAACATGCACGTTTATTAATGATTTCTGACAATGAAAGTGTTTGAAAGAAGTTTACAAGTAGTCACTCTATACCGTACTGTCACCGGATGAAAATTGGTTGCTGGATGAGCACATCGACTAGAAGTGTAATAAAACGTATGTTAAGTGGGACGAATTGAATTGATAAACAATCACGCAAGTTTACGCGTTTTTAACTCCTATTCGTCTGTCAGTAAACGTCGCAAAGACGCAAAAAAATGCAACCACATACATTTTTATACCAACCTATGAGCCAAACTTATCGATAGTCAACGATGGCCAGCTAGCTCGTTATCAAAACTTCAGTAGATAAGGGCTGATTTCAATGCGTAACACATCCGTAAAAAGTTAAACACGAAAACCAAAGAATAATTGCATAAATGGCCAATGAATTTCTTTCAGGCGGGCAACTTAGAACAACTGATGAACAAACAAAACAAAGTATATATGAATCGTACAGAAAAGTGGATGATTGTTAAACACAACTTACTTTTTAAAGTGACTGTATTCCCACCAACAGCATCAGGACCAATCAATTGTTCTTTCAAATCACCAGCTTTGTAAACAAGAATCGATGGTAAATTGTTGGATGGATAATTTGGAATACATAAACTGGATTCACCACGAAGAAATTTCACTGAAGGGAATTTTGGTGCCAATTTTCGAAAATGATCATCAATCAGACTGCATAGTGTATTGCTGTAAAACAAATATATACATATATATACTATTTTGACGAAAGAAAGCCTCGAGACTATGTTGGTCGCATTTCTTCAGATTGTAGTGTAAATTCCCGAAAACAAACAAACAAGATATCAGAGTGCACAGTCAATAGTTGAGACTGTTGCCAGAAGCTGTCATTATCCATGTATTAAGAAATTAAAACACAACAAAAAGTCAACAACTATTAACAATCTCAATACACACAGTCAACCCTAACCTCAATGGGATGTTTAAGTCAAGACCTCAATTACTCAAAAAATCATATCATTTGTTGATGGTTTTGAAATCACTCTTTTTACTCACCTATTCAGCGTATACTACCGTGAAGTATGGCAACTTCAACTAATGTAGTTGTGTGACCTTATTTCAATACGCAACGAAATGAATCATCATCATCATTCTCAACATAGGACCAGGCATTACTGTGTAACGGTCCGAGTTGCCACACCTCACGTCAGTTCATCAAGTAGAAAGGTAGTGAGGTGAAGGATGAAGATAAGTGAATGCAGTCAAAAGAAATATAAAGTACGAGAAGAAAGGAAAGAGGAGTGACAAAATAGTGAGATTCGGTATAGCGTTGTTAAGATGAGGATAATGTGTGTATACATCTGCGCCACTGACTTCGGTTCTGAGCCATATCACCTAGGGTCTCCAACCACTGGTTCCTCTTGTCCCGTGGACCCCAACCACCTAGTCTGCATCGTCCTACATGGCTTAAACCAACAGTCAGAGACTTCATACATTGGTGCCATGTTTTAGTCTGGCCACCTCGGGCCTTTTTCCAGCCTGAACCCACCTCAGCCAACATTGTGTGACGAGGCAATCGGTGACTAGGCATACGTAGTACGTGTCCCAACCATCTCAGTCGATGAAGGTTCACAACCTCGTCGACTGACTTACCTCTTCTCCCCAAAACTCTACACCTAACTTCTGCATTACTCACATGGTGACACCACGGAATACGTCCTATACTACGAAGGCAACGGTGGTCAAACACCTGTAACCTTTCTGTGTCTTCCACTTTCAATGGCCATGTTTCACAGCCATACAGTAGAACAGAGCGGACTGCTGTGCAGTACACGCGACCCTTAATAGACAAACGAATATCACGGCGGCGCCATAGGTGGCGCAAATTGGCAAAAGCCAATCGAGCCTTTTGTATCCGTGCAGAAATCTCATCGGCAACTAACCCACCAGGGTTGATCCTACTTCCCAGGTAAGTGAAGTGGTCAACACACTCAACCACTTCACTCTCTATTGTTAACCGCGGTACCGCTGAAGACCAGTCCTGGAGCAAAAATTTGCATTTGGGTGGTGAAAATCGCATCCCAAACATTCTCAAATTCCCACTCAAAGTGTTCAGAAGACTCTGCATCTTGTCAGCGTCTTCACCTAACAGGACTATGTCATCTGCATATTCTAGATCTAAGGAAAATTCACCTGTGATCGGGTCAACGTCTTTGTAATTAGGTGACGAGAGGGAAACCTCCATAAGAATATCTATGATAAAATTAAATAAGAATGGGGATAGTGGGCATCCTTGACGGACACCACTTGATGAGTATAGCTCCCTGGACAACTCACCATAGGCTCTAACATGCCCACAAGTGTTCGAGTAGAGAGCTTTCAATAAGGTGATGTACTTACTAGGCACGCCTTTCAGTGACAGACACTGCCATAAGACTTCTCGATCAACGGAGTCAAATGCCGCCTTCAGGTCGAGAAATACAGCTATTGTCGGGCGTCTGTAAGCATGCCTATGTTCCAGGACCTGGCGCAGTGTGAATATTTGGTCGATACATCCACGGCCAGGTCTAAAGCCTGCCTGGTTTTCTCGGGCTTGCTGTTCCCGAGCTCCACTCAGGCGTCGGAGAATTATAGAACTTAGGATCTTAGACACTATGTTTGTCAGGCTGATTCCTCTGTGGTTATCACAAGAGGACTTCTCGCCTTTCTTGAAGACTGGGATGATGAGTGACTTAGACCAGTCGGAGGGGATCGTATTTGATTCCCATATACTGGCTAACACTTCCGTTAGCCTGACTAAGAGAACTCTACCACCATTCTTGTATACCTCAGCAGGTAGTCCGTCTGGTCCTGCTGCCCTTCCCGTTTCAGGCTACCTACCGCTTTCTCAACTTCTTCTAGTGTTGGGGGACCTGTCTCTATGTCCCATTCAGGGTCCGACTGGATAGCGGGCAGCGCAATGGTGGCTGGAGGCCAGTTAAACTGTTCCTCAAAGTGTTCTGCCCATCGTCCCAGTCGCCTTCCCTGCGAGTGAATCGCAGATCCGTCCTTCTCCGCTATAACCTCACTAACTGTTGTTGACCATTTCCCCCCAGTCTCCTTAATAAGTCTAAATAACTGTCTACTGTTACCGATCGCCGCTGCCTTTTCCATCTCTTTAGCCTTTGCTGCCCACCACTGTTCACGATCGTTGCGCAGACTTTTCGTCAGTTATTTTTAAGTTGCGCTCGCTCTTCATTGTACTCAGAGCCTGCAGGGATGCATTCACGTGCATCCATTAGTTTGGAAGAAGCTGCTGATATCCACTGGCTCTTTTTAGCCATTATCTTGGAGTCGGCTACAGTCTCCAGTGCTGCTTTTACAGTAGACTGAAGATGGCACCAAGCTTCTTCTGGATGAGTGACAGTCTTTTGTTCCGATAACTGCCTAGCCAACTTCTCACTGAACACGGCTTTGGTGTTTTCGTTGTCCAGCAGAACTCGTAGTGGTTTTGTTGCCAAATTTTTTCTACGTCCATTGAGACGCAGGCATATACGTGCTCGGACCAACGCATGATCGCTGTCCAAACACGTACTCCAGAAGGAGCGGCAGTCTTCCACCGATCCTCTCCAGCGATGACTAATAGCAATGTGGTCTATCTGTGTCCATCGCTGAGTCGAGCTCGGTGGACGCCAGGTCAGACAGTGCCTTTCTTTATGTCTGAAATTTGTGCTGGCTAAAAATAGGCGGTTATCTGAGCATAGTTGTAATAGGCGATCACCGTTATCTGTACGTTCAGCTGGGATTCCGAAAGTGCCACCTAAGTGCCTTTCTGCCTCACTCAGTCTACCCACCTGTGCGTTGAGGTCACCTGCAACAACCACTACGTCCGAACGTTTGGCTTTCGAGAGGAGGTTAGACAGTTTATGGTAGAACTCGTCCTTCACTTCATCCGAACTACAGTCAGTGGGTGCGTAAGCAGAGATTACAAAGAGACAACGGCGAGTCTCACTATTCCTTTTAGTTCTCACTGTGCCGTTCAGCCTCATAGCGCAGAGGCGACTATCAACTGGGATCCAGTCTAGTAGTGAGTTTTCTGCCCTGGTGCTTAATGCTATACCTACACCTGCAAGACCACGAGAGCTAGCTATCGAATCTCCAGAAACTCGAAGGGTGAATTTTGCAGATTCACCAGATTGGTCAGGAGAGGTCAGGTGAATAACCACACTTGGGTCCTGTATGCGTGTCTCACAAACACAGCACACATCCATGCCCGAGTTGCTAGAGTCTTTGCCAACGAAGCCTGTTGGCCAATTTGACGGAGGGTGCGGACATTGAAGGCTCCAATATGTAATTTGGAGCGTGGTTTAAGGAGACCAGGGATGCTGTTCTGTGGACTCAGATCGTTGTCGAAGGCTGCAGAGGTAGGAGAAATTGAAGATGATGCAGCATCATTAATTAAGAGACGTGAAGGAAGATTAGAAGGTAATGATGGAGGAGGAGGATAGCAGTCAGAAGAAACTTGGGTGCTGACAGAGTTGTGAGGGCGGTTGACACTTCCCGGCTGCCCACACCGTGGAAGGCTATTTCTTCTTAAGGTACCTGAAAGAGATTTGTGTGACCGCAGAGCCCATCGGACATCTGCTTGAGGCCTGTCACACCCAGCCTTTTGAGTATGATTATTTTGAATTTTTGTATTTTTGGGGCCGGATGTCGAAAGGAAACGACAAGTGAACCAACACCGCCGGCCCGGCAGACCGTGGGGCGTGGTGGAGTGTGTTATTTTTGGGGCCGACCTTTTCTAACCCCCCCTTCCACTGAGAAGGCAGCATCAGCATGGCACTGCTGGTCATCCAAGGGAAACACCTTACTGCTGTCACACCCCATCCAGCTAGCAGCAGTACGACTTCGCCCTCAGACCCCCATCATAGTGTAGCAATTTACACTATAACGGTAACTGCTTTTCGTCTAACCACTACCCAACAGACCTTTCTGGTATGGTAGGACCTCGAGGGAACAAGCGTTCCACCAGCATAGCTCGTTGGGTCATTGTGATATGCAAGCCCGACCACCACGTCAAGGTAGCAGCTATCGGTCGAACACTAAGAGTCCTTGACCACTGACTGCTATGGTCTCGGGAACCCTAGCCAAGTGGTCTACATATGCCTACACAACTCAGACCAACAGTCAACGACTTTATCCAGTGATGCCATCTTAATCTAATCACTCTAAACTCTTTTCCAACTTCTCCTAGTATGGTACATAGAATAAGGCGGTGACTCGGGACGCGTAGTACACGTCTAAGCCATCTCAGAAGATGAAAGTTTACAACCTCATCAATCGACTTCCCAGTCTTGTCTAATACTATTCGTTTAACCTCGATATTGTTAATATGGTGATTCCACCATACGCGAGCAATCCTACGAAGACACCTGGATTAAAACCTTGTAATCGCTTCATGTCTTCTACTTTTAACGACAACAACGGATCATGGAAATCGACTGAGATCAATAAAACAGAAATGGAAGAGAGAACATAACGGTGGTATCAAAGACAGCTGTCGAAACGATTGATATGCATAACTATTTCACATCAATACCAAGGTTTTCATTATAACCTTGTAAGTAGATATCAACAACGTAAAACCTTGAAAATAAGGCAAAAATTCCCACCTACATACGTATAAAACAAAGAATTCGAGAATAGAAATATTTCTTTTCAATTAGCCCTACATCACCAGCTCTATACCAACACGTGGAGTTGCGGTTTATTGGTGTTTTAGGAAGCTGACTTTCAACCAATGGGTTGCCGGTTCGAACACTGCTTTACCTACCAAGGTTTGAGCAGCTAGGTAGTATAATTAGTTATCCCATAAATAGATGTATCTCGTTACCTACTGTACGACTGTGTACTAAGTGTCTAAGTGGATTTCTATCGACTTTGTATACCAATACAAAACAATACACCAATCTAATGGTGAAAAGTTAGTTCACAACAGACAGTCAGCTTCAAGGTGTTCAGGTTACGATAATTACGATAGTAGTTAGACTTAAGAATAAATTACACACAGTAAATTCGTTAAAATTGAAACAGACTGTTATATACCTGTTGAGAGTTTGCATAACAGAAACTAACAAGAAGAGAGAATGAATGATCGTGTTAAGTGGTCAGTTGTTCACGCTAACTGCGTAAGAACAGTTAAAGAAAGAAAGAGAAGAATCAGAAAGCTAAAACGGCGCTGTAACTACCACCACAATATTGATAACAACAGTAGTAATGGTGGTAATAATTAGTGGTGGATAATGGCTGGCAGTGGAACTCAGGACACATATTTTTTCCTGTTTGGGACTCGTCAGCTGGATGTGCCTGCCTTCTGATGAGTGATGTTATCACCACCAAGACTCTAACCCAGCACCAACTGCTTTAAACGTCAGAACTCTATTCGCAAGGCCTGTGTTTCACTATGTGAACAAACTGAAGGTTAAGCGTAGAGTACTAGGGAAGAAAGATATGTCAGTCTATGAGATTTTAGACATTCAGCGACCAAGTTAGCTTGCATAGGCCGAGCCACTGCTTAGCAAAAGCTAAGGGTGACTAGATCAAGATGTGGTAGCAGTTTATGAAGTCTTTGCCTGTTGGTTTGTGTCGTGTAGAGAGATGTTTGCTATCTGTGGTCCTTGAGAAGATAGGAATCAGTCGTTGGAAACACTTGGTGAAATGGTTCAAATAGCTCATAATGGTGAACATATGTATACACTCATTTTTATCTTCGAATGTTTGAACATTTTGATTGACCTTCAGCTTTTTGTTCTCTTTTGTCTACTTTAATATCATTCTTTTTTATCCACTTCTTCTTACTTATATGCACCTATGAAGTGTTGTAACTTGAACTGATGCCCGTCGGCTACATGTTACTTCCCTTCATCTATATCTAGCCAACAACAAACAAGATTGCATACGGTATGAATTATTCAGGATACTAATTTAAATCCTTCAATATTGTCGTCTCCCACTTAACCTTTTCGTCAGCATCACCACCGATTTCGACATGAGACCTGGTGTTATTCGAGTTGCCCCAACCTCATGACAGCATATCAAGTAACAAAGCAATATGAAGACGAAAAAAGAAAGAAAAATGAGTCAAAAGAAGTAGAAAGTAGTAAAAGAGAGGAAGGAGGTTCTGAATTCAATATGGCGGTTAAGATGATGATAAAGTGTGGATACATCTATGCCAATGACATCGATTCTAAGTCATATGACCTAGACTCTTCAACCGCTGGTTTCTGTTGTCAAATGGACCCCACTCGATTAGTCGGAACCACCCTACATGGCTCAGATCAACAGTCAAGGACTTCATGCATTGGTGCCATGTCTCAGTCTAGCCATCCCGGACCTTCATCGGGTCACAACCTACCTCAGCCAACATTGGCAGAAGAAGATAGTGACTAGGCTTGCGTAACACATGTCCTAGCCATCTCAGACAATGAGGATTCACGACCTTATCAACTGACTTTCTTCTCCCTAAAACTATGCATTTGACTTCTGAGAAACTCACGACACGTGGCTTATGCTACAAACGCAACGATGGTCAAACACCTGGGGTCTTTTCATTTCCTCTACCCCTAATGACAATGCTTCGCAGCCATACAGTAGAACAGATTCAACTACAGCAAAGTACACTCGATTTTTAATAGACGGTTGAATATCTCAACTGCGCAACAGATGACGTAAGTTGGAAAAAGCCAGTTAGGCCTCTTGAATGCGTGCAGAGATTTGGTCCGCCACTGACCCACCAGGGCTGATCTGACTTCCTATATGAGTAAAATCATCAACCACTTCACCCACTATTGTTGGCCGGGGCACCATTGAAGACGAGTCGTGGAGTAACAATCCGCATATGGGTGGTGAGAAACGCATCCCAAACATCCTTAAATTGCCACTCAAGGTGTCCAGATGACTTTTCATTTTGTTACAGTCTCCACCTAACAGGACTATGTCATCTGCCCATTCTAGATCTACTAAGAATTTTCCTGTGACAAGATCAATCCCTGTGAATTTAGAAGACAAGAGTGAGACCTCCACAAGTACATCTATGACAAAATTTAATAAGAATAGATTTAGTTATTAGATGATATTGGTTCACAGTCTGACGAAATAAAATCATCCCATTCACTCAAAAAATCTTACGCTTAGTGTTAACAATGTTTATTTAGTGATTTCATCACTGAGACATAAGGCATCGCTTTGATTTTCAACGATAATAATATTTGATAATAATGATAGGGATCACCTTCTAGTTGCATAATGAAAGGATAACACCTCCTTTGCAACTCATGAGTAGAGTTCTGGCTTATTGATGTTTTAGGGGGCTTACTTTTAACCAGAGGGTCGCGGGTTCAAAAACCGCCCCACCTATCGAGCTTTGACAGTCAGGTAGCGTCACTAGCTATCACAAAATGCGTATGGCTTAGTGCCCAATGGACAAATGTTCACAAGGTTGCTGAGTGATTTCGATTTGAACTCCTATCGACCAACTTTCGCGGCACAGAATAAAACCTCAAAGAAAAATTGTTCCTACTGGTAAAACTCAACTGCTTCACTCACTATACAGTCATGTGTTGATTTATCCTCCCACACTACATACCCATTAACAGAATGGAATATGAAAATGCTTACCCTTTTTCACCAATATGTACAACGACGAACATATCACCAGCATTTGTTATTCTGTTGTCCAGTCGGCTTTGGTCACTTCGCGTACACTACCAAAGCGAGCTTTTGATGCCTCTTCTTGCATCATAGCAATACGTCTACGCCGATAGTCTTCAAGAAAACGCGCCTCTTCTTCATCTATTTCACCATCTTCCAATAAATCGAACTTCTCTTCCAATTCTTCTGATGTTAAGTTATCTAGAATGGATTCTGGAGGGAAAAAGAGCATTTATCTGGTTTTAATTTTTATTGAAAAATAACAGTGAGGAGTAAGGTTTTAGTTGAACAAAAATAAGGATTAGAATCAATTCAAAATATTTACTGGGATCAGGTGGTACAGGAAGTTCTTCTGGTGGTTCAGTCTTCTTTGGCGGTAGAATTCCCTTCTGACGTAAAATGTCATTCCACTCAGTATCTGCGTTTGGATCCTATACAGAAATTAAATTACAAGTTCAGATAAGGTGGTAACAAACTTGCATGTCCGGCAAATCACTTTAAATAAATGTAGTCCAATTGAAAAGAAAAAGTGGTTAATTGCTTTAATAATATGAATCAGTAATATTCATTCATTCACACAGACACGGTCATCAGTACATATCTGTAGATGGAGAGAGCAATGAAAAGATTAAGAAAAGTTTACACTTTTATAAGGAACATGGAAGAGTATTGTGTGCAATGAAAATCATAGAAGAATCGAAAAATCGTACTGTCCTTGAAATGATCAATCAGAGGCTGGTGAGTTATCTGATAATTTTTGGTAGGTAAGAGTTTCTACTAATAAGCACTCAGCAGTCTTGTGCAATTAAATGCAGTAGACAGTGAGTGACACCTATTGCGTGAGGGCTAATGATACTACCTGGCTACCCAAACCTCGGTAGGTAGAGCAGTGTTTGAACCCATGACCCATTGGTTGACAGTCAACCCCCCTTAAACAGTGAGCCATAATGACGGAAATCTTTGCTGTTCCTATTTAATAACACAATCATTAGCAGCTGATCAGTTAAACAGGTTCTGCAAATCTAATATCCTAGGTTAGAAACAGATAGATAAACTTATCAAAAGATATGAGCTGGAGACTTATTCAGCTTATTCGAAACACTGTACTGGATCGGTTTTACATACAGACGAATCAGTCTTCTTACAGCGTTTATTCGAACCATTTTTTGTATACGCTGACACGTCATTCGAAATCAATGATTTTCAGCCTTAAATGACATGGTTTACAATCGCTGTTGATGCTTCAGACTCACATCTTGCTCTGACAAGTGAACAAACACATTTGCTGATTTTTCTATGCTGTGACGATTTCAATTACTGTCCCAAGAAAACCCAGTTGACATAGGCTATTAATTTCAAATTCAATCAGCCGTCGTAAATGTCGATCGGGTAATTGGTGGCTAAGTTGCTCACCAAAACTTACGATTTATAAAAATAAACTGACCAAACTCAATGGGGTTGGACAATTTGGTCTTCAAAACTGGATTTGTCCGGATATAATGCTGGTGAATCTGACCACTAAAAACAGTAAAACGACAAGCAGTTCAATAGATCACTCTGATTTGCACAGTAAAGTCCACATATCAGTAGGGGTGGCTTCTGTCTACTCATATATTAATGCGCAAGCATATTTCATAGGTGTGGTCAAACCTTTGTAACAGACTTCATAGCCTGGGATTCCTATCAAAAGTATGTTATTACTACAGTTGAAAATATGATCGATCGTGTAGTTATTAAGTAATTTGTTATTATATTCATTAAGATAACAACCAGTGGGGAAAATGTCAAGTTAATTAATTAGTTAGTTGAACACAAAGATGGTTAGCAAGGGCACCAAGAAATGCACCACACAGAATAATATAACACTATCTTAAAGACATAAAGCGAATGGAAGTGGATGAGTTAAAAAGAGAAACACTAAGAATAGAATGGTTAAAAAGACAGTCCAGTAAGATAAATTCAAAACAAAACACTCATTACTTCTCAGTAGCAGAAGATAGAAGGAAGCTACAGTATGACTGCTAATGGTTTCGATAACGTTTGAAGGCACTGAGTTGCGTGATTTCTCGGACTCCATACAGGGAGTCACGATGCATCAACAAATGATAACCCAATACAACTATCCTTCATCCTACAGCCCCATGTAGCACTGACCACCCCTCCGCTTCCTTTATCCAGCCCCAGGGTCAGGAAACAATGAACGGAACGGAAGCGGCTGGGACGACATGTATGACGCACGTCCAAACCACCGAGGCTGGTGTTTCCAGATGACTTCACTTATTGAATGGCGATCTCCATAGTGCCCAAACACGCTGTCGTACCATGGAATTACTTACATGGTGTTGCTAACGGATACCAGCAATCCTACGGAGACAACAATTATCGAACACAGTCATCCTTCTAATCTCTAGAAGGGCGAGTCTGAAGCAAACACATGTTAAAAAGCTTAGTAATACGCTCAGCAGCAATATCTGCTAGGGAAGGAGTTGCAAACCATTAGGATCCGGAGATGTTCCAGGCTTGGGGTTACCAAACAGTAGAAAGGTTATATCCTTTATTACATGCACTAAACCAACTGACAAGGCAGTTCTGCTAAAAATATTAGCTAGGTCACTGTCTCAACCTACCGGGAAAACTTTACTAAACTAATTCCATGACTGCTTAGCTTTGCACAAGTTAAGTGCAGTCAAGTCATCTGATCCCGAAATTGACACTAGAGATGAAATTCTAACGTTTCTTTTTGCCCCCATTTCAGTGAATGAGAACAGTCTTTTGGTAATCACGAGCTATCTTCCTTACGCTATTCGAGACCTTGTGATTAATGTTTTGTACAGGAACTGTAGCTGATTGGTATTGGGCGTACAACCTTTAGACAATGGGTTCTGGGTTTAAAGTCGACTCTACTAATTTCGACATGGACAACCGGACATTATGATAAGCCCCGACCGATAGCTGAGATTGTGATTTGGTGATCGGGCTTGCATATAGCAACGACCCAACGAGCTATGCTGGTGGAGCGCTACTTTCCTCCAGGTCCTGCGATGCCAGAAAGGTTTGTTGGGTAGTGGTGACACAAAAAGCGATTATAATTATAGTGTAAATTGCTACACTATGATGGGGATCTGAGGGCGAAGTCATGATGCTGACTAGACGGGTGTGACAGCGGCACGTTTTTTTAAATGACCAGCAGTGACACGCTGATGGGAAGAAGGGTTAGAAAGTCGGACGTCAAAATAGCACCCTCCCACACCCTACGCGGCATGCCAATAAACGCAACATGGATTCATAGTCGGGTTCAAAAGTAGAAATCCAAAATCTCAAACTTACCAAAGCGCAATGTGTTACCATCAACATAATCATTATCAACACAGGACCAGGCATTACTGTGAAACGGTCCGAGTTGCCACACCTCACGTCAGTTCATCAAGTAGAAAGGTAGTGAGGCGAAGGATGAAGATAAGTGATTGCAGTCAAAAGAAATATAAAGTACGAGAAGAAAGGAAAGAGGAGAGACAAAATGGTGAGATTCGGTATAGCGTTGTTAAGATGAGGATAATGTGTGTATACATCTGCGCCACTGACATCGGTTCCAAGCCATATCACCTAGGGTCTCCAACCACTGGTTCCTCTTGTCCCGTGGACCCCAACCACCTAGTCTGCATCGTCCTACATAGCTTAAACCAACAGTCAGAGACTTCATACATTGGTGCCATGTTTTAGTCTGGCCACCTCGAGCCTTTTTCCAGCCTGGACCCACCTCAGCCAACATTGTGTGACAAGGCAATCGGTGACTAGGCATACGTAGTACGTGCTCCAACCATCTCAGTCGATAAAGGTTCATAACCTCGTCAACTGACTTACCCCTTCTACCCAAAACTCTACACCTGACTTCTGCATTACTCAAGTGGCGACACCACGGAATACGTCCTATACTACGAAGGCAACGGTGGTCAAACACCTGAAGCCTTTCTGTATCTTCCACTTTCAATGGCCATGTTTCACAGCCATACAGTAGAACAGAGCGGACTGCTGTGCAGTACACGCGACCTTTAATAGACAAATGGATATCACGGCGGCGCCATAGGTGGCGCAAATTGGCAAAAGCCAATCGAGCCTTTTGTATCCGTGCCGAAATCTCATCGGCAACTAACCCACCAGGGTTGATCCTACTTCCCAGGTAAGTTAAGTGGTCAACACACTCAACCACTTCACTCTCTATTGTTAGCCGCGGTGGGGCACCGCTGAAGACCAGTCCTGGAGCAAAAATTTCCATTTGGGTGGTGAAAATCGCATCCCAAACATTCTCAAATTCCCACTCAAAGTGTTCAGAAGACTCTGAATCTTGTCAGCCTCTTCACCTAACAGGACTATGTCATCTGCATATTCTGGATCTAAAGAAAATTCACCTGTGATTGGGTCAACGTCTGTGTAATTAGGTGACGAGAGGGGAACCTCCATAAGAATATCTATGATAAAATTAAATAAGAATGGAGATAGTGGGCATCATTGACGGACACCACTTGATGAGTATAGCTCCCTGGACAACTCGCCATAGGCTCTAACATGCCCACAAGTGTTCGAGTAGAGAGGCTTCAATAAGGTGATGTACTTACTAGGCACGCCTTTCAGTGACAGACGTTGCCACAAAACTTATCGATCAACGGAGTCAAATGCCACCTTCAGGTCGAGAAATACAGCTATTGTCGGGTGTCCGTAGGCATGCCTATGTTTTAGGACCTGGCGCAGCGTGAATATTTGGTCAATACATCCACGGCCAGGTCTAAAGCCTGCCTGGTTTTCTCGGGCTTGCTGTTCTCGAGCTCCACTCAGGCGTCGAAGAATTATATAACCTAGGATTTTGGATACTATGTTCGTCAGGATGATTCCTCTGTGGTTATCACAAGAGGACTTCTCACCTTTCTTGAAGACTGGGATAATGAGTGACTCAGACCAGTCGGAGGGGATCGTATTTGATTCCCATATACTAGCTAACACTTCCGTTAACTTGACTAAGAGCACTCTATCACCATTATTGTATACCTCAGCAGGTAGTCCGTCTGGTCCTGCTGCCCTTCCTCGTTTCAGGTTACCTACAGCTTTCTCAACTTCTTCTAGTGTTGGGGGCCTGTCTCTTTGTCCCATTCAGGATCCGACTGGATAGCGGGCAACGCAATCGTGGCTGGAGGCCAGTTAAACTGTTTCTCGAAGTGTTCTGCCCATCGTTCCAGTCGTCTCACCTGTGAGTGAATCGCAGATCCGTCCTTCTCCGCTATAGCCTCACTAACTATTGTTGATCTTTTACCCCCAGGTCTCCTTTATAAGTCTAAATAACTGTCTACTATTACCGATCGCCACTGCCTTTTCCATCTCTTTAGCCTTCGCTGCCTACCACTGTTCACGATCGTTGCGCAGACTTTTCGTCAGTCTATTTTTAAGTTGCGCTCGCTCTTCATTGTACTCAGAGCCTGCAGGGAGGCGTTCA